TTTTTCAGCGTTCACAATGTCTCTTACCATTTCCCAGAGCTCCTTGGGTTTTCTTTCAAATGACTATAATTTCCTTACAATGCTTTTGTCTTCTGATTTGTATGTCTTCCAGCTCAAATCTTTCTGCTACATTTACTCTCTTTAGCTTTCTAAGCATAATTCACTGTTCCAGAGTCTGCACCTGGAAGTGTCTTGTCTCGTTTGATTGCACTTCCCCATTTGCTTTTTCCTGTTATGTAATCAGTTTTGTTCAAATGTTGTCCCTCTAGTGATGCCCAAGAGTGGAGTCTGTGTCACTTGAAGCAGGTGTAAGTAATAAAAAAAGAATTTTCTTTGCAAAATTCTATTACCTGCATCCTGCATGATTTGGTTTGCCAGTAATTTTAATTCCTCCATTCTAATCACCTATTACATGTATCTCTTCTTGTAGTTTGTCATAGAATATTTAAGTATCTCCATCATTGCATCTGTGGTTCAGATATTCACTGGATGCCCACTGATTTTGATAGTTATGATCCTGCTTTCTGGGCATAATTGAGCATATATTTAGCAGGGCCAGTTTTGAATGTCGCTGCTACTCCATTTCTTCATATGGTCAAGACCCTGAATAGTCTCACATATTTGTCTGATCTACAGTAGTTCAGCCTGATCCACCAAAGTTTATGTATTCCTAAAATATCAATTTTAAATTCCTTATTTTCTATTTCTCAGGTTCAAGTCTTGAATGTGAGAAGCATTGGTCAGTGCTTTTCATATCCCACCTTGCAATTGTTAGGAGCCTTGTAAAATGAGGCCTCTTATCAGTATTGACCCCATCAATGAGATTCTTGCTTGTAGTTTTGGTCCACAAAATTGTCGCTTCTAGTTATTACTTTCACTCATTACTTGAGTTTCACTCACCACATTACTCTTACTGTAACTTTCACTACTGTCACTATTGCTTATCAGAGTTTGATGTTCTTTTCCTATAACTAATTGTGGTCACAAGGTTTTTTGGCAGACTTTCACCTTGTATACCCGTTTCAACCTCTCCTAGAATTGGTAGGCATATCACTTATAATTATAATAATAATAATAATAAAATTGGAAGGGACCTTGGAGGTCATCTAGTCCAACCCTCTGCTCAAGCAGGAAACCCTATACCATTTCAGACAAATGGCTGTCCAGTCTGTCTTAAAAACTTCCAGTGTTGGCGCATTCACCGCTTCTGGAGGCAGGTTGTTCCACTGGTTAATTGTTCTAACTGTCAGGAAGTGTTGACTTTTTGGTAGCTGCAGCTGATTATGATTTGGTCACCTCTGGTTTGGACTAGTGTGCCATGTGTCTACCTGGGTCTGCCCTTATAAAGCATATATAAGTTGCAACTGATCCAGTATGCAATGATTTGTAGTAATGGATGCACCTCAAAGTATCCACATAACGTCTTTACTCTGAGAGTTACACTGGTTGCCACTATATTTCATTTGGCAATTATTTTTCAGATGACAGTCATCTCATTGCAAACAGTATTGTTTTTCTCAAGGAGCTCCCAATTATTTAACAGTAATTAGAGAAACTCCAAATTAAAACTAACTACAAAAATGTGTTATTGCTGTAATAGCCTACATACAGATGATATATACATTGTATTTAATAGGACTGCATGCTTCAAAAATGAATTGAGCAAGTATGTCAAAACTTACATGACCACAGCACTTCTCTGCTCTTTATTAAAGCAGCTCACCCTTTATTCAGGCTTTACTTTAAAACTTTATAATATGACTTTTTTCAGGCTTGCACAGACTCCTTTAACGAATAAAGAGATGCTTTGGTTGTATGAGGTCTGATACTTTTAATGAATCACTTTCAAAGTGCATATAGCCCTAGATTTGACTACAAAAAAACATTACAGTAGCACCTTGTCTGCTATATAAACAGGAGCACGATAAAAATATACTCTGCTTCTAGCCTTTATCTTAGATCAAGCGCAATGCACAGAAATGTAGAGCAAGACCTACTTTAGTGAGTTACTAATTGACATTAGAAATAATTCCCCGCCTTGATATATATTGAAGAAAAACAAGCAAGAGTTTAGATTTTTGCTGCATCTTAATATGTTCTGTCCTTATCTGTGCTTCTCACATTGCCCTGTGAGTGCTTTTGGAGGCAATTCTCTCTAATCACAATGTACTTACTGCTGAAGTGCAATATGAATGTTATATTACTTAATACTCCCTCTGTCATTTCCTTGTTATGTTTTTTTTCCCTAGTTTCCGGCTCTATACTTCTTGGTGTGTATTTTAGAAACAGGAACCATTAGCAAAAAATGCAAAAGCTATAAATGACACGGTGCCCTGGCACTGGGAAAGAAAACCTATGACTAGCGATCACAGGTTCTGAAACTTGTCCGAGTACACAGTGATTTAAAATAGCCTTTTCAGTGAGTAGCCAGTGTGCAATGAGTCCCGTTTCTGGTCTTTTTCAGATACTTGTGGTTCTATTGGATTTTTATTGCTTTAATGTTAAAACCCATATTTGGCACTACTTTGTACGGTAGTCCTCAACTTAAAACCACAACTGGGACCAAAATTTCTTTTGCTAAGCAAGGTGATTGTTAATGAATTGCACCCGATTTTATGACCTTTTTTTGCCATAGGTATATCACTCTGGTTTTTAAGTGAATCACATGGTTCTTAAGTGAATCTATCTTTACTTGCTGAAGTCAAAGTCTCAAATAATCTCAAATTCATCATTGGCAATCATCATCATCATCATCATCTCCCTATGTGACTTCTAAGAAGAAGTGTGAATATCTTTTATTGAGCAAAAGTAAAAATAAACACATAAATAAAGGAATTGTGTTTTGGGAGGAGAGCTAGTAAATCCCAGTAGAAAAATGTTTAAAGATTTTTCTAGTTTGTTACGTAAGTATTTTGGAAATAATTTAGGAGTGAAACTACAGGTAGACCTCGACTTACAACCACAAGTGACCCCAACATTTCTGTTGTTAAGTGAGATAATTGTTAAGTAACTTTTACTCCATTTTACAACCTTTCTTGTCAACAATTGTTATGTGGATCACTGTAGTTGTTAAGTTAGTAACATGGTTGTAAAGTGAATCTGGCTTCTTCATTCACTTTGCTTTTACAGAAGGTGGCAAAAGGTGATCACGTGACCCTGGGACAATGCAACTGACATAAATATGAGTCAGTTGCCAAACATCTTGAATTTTGATTATGTGACCATGGGGATGCTGCAATAGATATAAGTGTGAGAAACAGTCCTAAGTCGCTTTTTTCAGTGTCATTGTAACTTTGAACGGTTACTTAAAGAATTATTGTAAGTTGAGGACTACCTCTAATGAGTTGGTTGGACAAATCATATCACTAGCAGAAAAAAGAAGAGAAAAAATATACATTTCCCATAGGCTACATTAATTGAAAACAGGTTTAGGAAGTTTTGTTTTTGTAATAAATTGTTGCTTATACTTGATATGTCTGGAATTCCTGCAACTGCACCTGATACAGAAATAGTCACCCTTTATGTAATCAGAATGGAGAGTCTGCCTTTACTTTTCCAGTCTAGAATGTAAGGACCAATTTTATATTTGCAGCAGTTCCTAATTGTAAATGCCCTTGATATTTTGATCTTCATTTTGAGATTAACAATAAGACTTGTGGCTAGAAAACCTGGCCTGATTGTTGGATTCCTCTGCTTCTTTACCCATCCATTTGCTTCGTATCCATCTTATGCCAAGCAGTTTTAACTTCAACTCCCACCAGCATGGATTAAGAGAACTATAGCTCAATGTGTATGGAAGGACGTTCTATTAAACCAGGGGTAGGCAACCTTGGCTCTTTTATGACTCGTGGACTTCAACTTCCAGAATTCCTGAGGCAGCCATGCTGGCTCAGGAAGTCTGGGAGTTGAAGTCCATGAGTCATAAAAGAGCCAAGGTTGCCTACTCCTGTATTAAACTAATACATTCTGGAAAAGCTCACATAGTCGTATAGCTTTTGAGTTAGTCTTAGTGAAGGTCTTCTCCAATTTTAATTTTGTGTTTTAGATGAATGATTTATAAATTAAGCGAGGCTCTGTAGCAGCAACTTTTTACCACAGAGCTCTTTTAGTAGATATTATCTATCAGAATGATGTGTGAATGGATGGCATATAACAGTGATGGCGAACCTTTTAGAGACCGAGTGCCCAAAAACTGGCCCTGCCCCCGCTCCACCCCCTGCCCCGCCCCCGCTCTGCCCCCCATCCCCCACCCCGCCTGCCCACAGGACCACTCACTGCCTCCAGGGCCCGCCGCAGATCGCCCAGGCAGCCCAGCAGCGCTATGGCGGCCACACCCTCTGCCCGCACTCTGCAGCATTAACTGCATGATGGGGTATGAGGGCAGAGTCTTGTCTACACTGCCTGGCTGCCATGCCCTTGGCTGCACTGCTCCGTGTGGGCCACGCTTGGGGGTGACTCTCCTTCAGGGGGGCTGCTGGAGGAGGGGGTCACGGGGGGAAGGCAAGGCTGGGGCAACAGCACGAGTGCCCACAGAGAGGGCTCCAAGTGCCGCCTCTGGCACCCGTGCCATAGGTTCGCCACCACTGGCATGTAACATAAAAGGCATATGTAGTATATATATATTCTCAGGAACCTCTAGTATATATAATTTTGACTGGTTTAGCATTGGGTTTTTTTTATAATTTTGAGGACAAATTATGTATAGAAACTTTGTAATTTCTAACATATATGAATATAATTGTTGTTTGAAAAAATATGGTTCATCTGTACTACAGTATGCACATATTAGATTCAATAACAGTTCTCCCAATTTGGGGTGCATTTTCATTTTCCTGCCGGGTATAGAAATAGCAAATAGACAGAGCAAGTGAATTCAGGTTTCTGCTTATAACGAAAACTTTATAATAATTAGTATATCGATTTTTTTAAGTACAGAGTTGGCATGTTGCCTTTTATACCTTCTGTTAGCTAGAATTCACGTATAGCTTTTTTCTCAGCAGAAGAATGACGAAAATGGGAACTGCTCAGGAGAAGGCATAGAGTTTCCTACAACGAATCTTTATGAATTAGAGAGCAGAGTATTAACAGATCACTGGTCCATACCATATAAGCGGGAAGAATCTCTTGGCAAATGTTTAATTGCATCAACGTATCTTGTAAGGCTAGGTAAGTTACCATTTTCTTTATAAAAAACAACTTAAATAATTCATTTTCTACTAATACCAATAAAAATAATATTGAATTGCTGTTTTGCTGGTAAAAAAATAAATCAATTTTTAGAATTTTAAAATCACAGTTAATTTTTTTCCTTGTTCCTTTTTTTTCTATTTTTGGGTATTTTAAATCTTGTTAAAATCTCTTTTTATCTCTTTTTTCCATTTTATTAACATTTCTCTACTCCTCCCTCCCCCGCTCTCTGTGTAAAATGCATACATACACATGCATACTAAATAACAATACAAGAGACTTTAATAAATAATCATGTAAGATCAGTGCCTCTTTATATAATAAATACTTTGATGAGTGTCATAATGTTTTTAATGTTATACTCAACTTTTGATGGAAATACCAAATTTATGCTTGTAAGTTGACATGCTAAATTGTAATTAATGTTGATAGAATACTTTTCTTTTTTCTCAATACTCTTAAGCTATTTAAATAATAGAATGTTTTAATCATTATATAAACATCTCTATTGAAACAACATAATAAAAAGGAAAAAAACACAATATTTGACATAAACCTGCTTGAAATATGATTGCAGATTATAATTTGTGGCCTAAACTGGCTGGCAACAATAAATGCGTATTTTGCACTCTTTTGTATATATCCAGAGGGAAGATAAAGAGTGAGGAATTGGTTATCAACGGACTTTGCTGGGTTATTTAATTATGTAAGACCAATTCTCAAATTACGAAGTAGCTAAACAATTTCCTAGTTATTTGAGCATGATATATAGAAAAGGAGTCAAACAGATGCAGTGGACTAATTCATATATGTTCATATATAAACTTCATAAAGTTGGTGTGATGATAAACTTACAAGATGTAATTGATGAAATGTACATATCTTGGGTTGTCAAACATAATATGAAGTATGGAAACATAAATCTGCCTTTTTCTGCTTAGAATAAATCAGAAAATGAACTCATATTCTAGGCACAAGTTAGAATCCTGTTGTGCTAAAATTGTCTAACCAACCACCTATTGTGCTTTAGTAGCTCCACCTGCTAATGGATAGACCTAGCAGGTATGAAGCAGCATATTTGCAATTTAGCTCATCCTTCTGGCATAGACTGTGACAGACTGTGACTTATGCAAATAAGTATTCACACTGAACACAGCTTTATCTATCTGTTATTGACTATGTTCACATAACAATAAACCTGATTTTTTGAGAATTTGGCTTATCCAGATTCCAAGTAACCATAGAGTTCATGATAGTCCTTCTATTTGGCTTCCTCTGCCATTATGAATGGCTAAACCATCAATCATGGCTCTATGGTTTGTTTAGCAGTATGAATCAACTAGTATTCTTTGTTGGTTCCTCTTCCGAATTATTAAATCAAGAACAAAACTTAGCTCCTAAAACTAACAACCACACCATTTCTTTGTGAAATATCTCTCATTTGGCTAGTATTTGTCCCCCATGGGAAACTGAACAAAATGTCAGCATATATATCAACATATAGCAGTCAAAATTGCTATTACAGGTAGGAGAATACACAGGTGGGATCTTATTTTATAAGCCATGGAAATAATTGAACCTGGAGATGTGTGCTGAGTTGCCACTTAAGAATACAGAAGTTCTTGTGGGTGCTGAGTGACCATATTTGTTTAAAAATAGTACTGTAGTTGTGTTCAACTGCTAAACCCAAGTTCTGTGAACATAAGTTCTGTACCACTGAAATTTAACATGTACGTAGTAACTACTGGATGATATGTGACAATGCGGAACTCAAATTTCAAAGAATAATTTTACTTATTTGTATGTATTTGAGAAAATGGTGAATACTGAATACTGTATGTAGTTTGTTCAGAAATTATTATAATTGTCTGAATTGGAGGGATGGGGAAGTAATGTCAATAGGCAAAGGTGCAACTGGATGTAAAAAAAAGTAGTGGATATGGGATATATTTTAAAGCTACAGGTAGTCCTCGACTTACAACAGCTCATTTAATTATCATTCAAAGTTTCAACAGCACTGAAAAATGTGACTTGTGACCGTTTTTCACAGTTAGGACCTTTGCAGCCTCCCCACGGTCATGTGATCAAAATTCAGATGCTTGGCAGCGGGTTCACATTTATGACCATTACTGTGTCCCAAGATCATGGGATCACCTTTTGCGACCTTCTGACAAGCAAAGTCAATGGGGAAACTAGATTTACTTAATAATCAGGTTACTAACTTATCAACTGCAGCGATTCACTTAACAACTGTGGCAAGAAAGTTCATAAAAATGGGGCAAAACTCACTTAACAAATGTCTCATTTAACAACAGAAATTTTGGGCTCAGTTTTTGATTGTAAGTCGAGGACTACCTATATTCCAAAGATTAATCTTTAACCCTTTTTTCAACAGCATTTCTGTCTCTTTTCCCTTTCTTTGTCCAATTACTTCTTCCTCTTGTTTCATCTCCAGTTCTGTGTTTACATTTCTACCCTTATTCCATATCTGGTTCTCTCTCTCCACCTCTTTCTCTTTTGAGAGAGGAATGAGATAAATGTTTGTATATCTGTATAATATCCATTTCTGAGTATAGTGTGTATGTGAGAGAGAGATAATGTTTTTTTTATAAATGAGATGAATTATTTATAAATGGATAGTTTATTTTGCAAACATTACTAATTCACTTATTTTTTTGTCATGAACTTGCCATCTGAGACTTGAAGTTATGTAGATAGGAATATATTGCTATCTATACTCATGTAACGATATATGCACACATATATTGGGAGGGGCAGAACTGTGCAAAAGAAACTGGGCATGTTGTGTTTGTTTTTGTTGTTTTTTCTGTCTACTCTTCCTTAAGGGGGTCATCTTAAATTTAGGTAAATATAATCATTGTCTTATGGTATATCATTATCTAAGCTTTTCTCTCTTTTAGTAAATATGGTATATCATTATCCTGGAGTTTATAAAATACCAATAAATAAATGAATCAATAAATGAATAAATAACCTCAATGATTCAAAATTTCAGGTGTTTTGATCTGGGTTCTCTTCTAAATCTCTTTGTATATACCACCTTATTTTCTGTTTCAGTGCTTTGAAATTGAAATGAATGAATTGAACAACAATTTATATTCATTAAGTCTTGGAATATGTCTGCAACAACTCAACTAGCACCAAATATATTAAGATTTAGAAAGCATCAATAGCACTCTGCTATCTTCTAGAAATATACCATATTTATTTCATCCATATTTTTTTGTTAAATTAGTATACCTTTTTAGTTATTTTTCATTCTTTTATTTCTCAGTTATGGAGTAGTTTGAATTCTAACTTCTTTTTTCTTTTTTAAATAAGGACTTTCTGATTCTGATGAAAATTGCAGGAGATTTATGGAGAGATGTATGCCTGAAGCTTTTAAAAAGGTAAATGCAAAAAGAAAAATCAAATTTGAATTGCTATAGCTGGAATTGGAGTTAGTCAAAGCTGAATTGCTTTCATTCTGACAACAGTGTTGGATGAAAAAACACCCATGTCTTTTCTAGTTAGGATTTATTAAATTGAATTTCCTTGTGGGGAGCTGGCAGTGACCATTGGAAATCTTCCTTTTTCCCTCCCTCCCTCCCTCCCTCCCTCCCTCATTTCTCCCTTTGTTCTCTGCCCCTGCCATCTTCTCTTTTTTATTTATTTTATTAAATTTGTTTGCTGTCCATCCCTATCCCTGTCTCCTTCCTTATATTTCCCTCCCTCCCTTCCTTCCCAGCAGGCAGCTGCTAGGTGGGAGAGGAAGAGAGGGATTGCATAAATGGCTGGGAAATATCAAGGAACATTGCAAATGATCACATGAACACGGGAGTAGCACTGAAGCAGCTACAGCTTTCCAAATTTCATTTCCTCTGGTGTTATGGATCATGGATTTTGGATATATTCTGTAATTTAGCCCATTTGAGATACCTTGGTTGAAAAATTGTTGAACTACGATGCATCCAGTTTCACCCAGTTAAAGGTCATGACAGCAAGAGTTTTGGTACTATATAGAAAGATGTATTAACATAGACTCTGCTTCTTTACAGCTGCTGACATCAAGTGCAGTTCATAAATGGGGTACTGAAATCCATGAAGGAATCTACAATATGTTGATGTTATTAGTAGATCTGGCTGCAGAGAGAGTGAAACAAGATCCTATTCCTGTTGGACTTCTATCTGTACTTACAATGGTATTGTAACTACTACATCTCTCTGAGGCTGCTCAGCCTGCAAATATTAGTGTTTTACATTAAGGGCCCAAGTAAGACATCATATGAAACTGTGGTAAAGTAAGCTTTTAACTGTGGTTTAATGTGATTTCTAAATTAACAGATTTGATCAACCCAAATTATATAATCAGAAATAATAACTTAAAGTGGTTAAACCTGTTATTTTGGCTTATACTAACTTATATGCCATTATCTCTAAATTGACACCCTTAATTCTGTCTTGTCCACTTCCATTTCCCAGCAGACTTGAACTGAATCAAAGACTGCATGCTTGCAAGCTGTCATTTGCTTTCTAAACAGTAGTCAGGATAATTGATTGCTCGGCAAGATGACCAGATCAGTGCACTGACATTTCTCCTACATATTGGATTATTTGTTTTGTTTACAGTCAAAAATGAAGTCACAGAATTTAAAAAAAATACAGCATAGTATGCTGAATATTTGATTTTTTAAATTAGTAATCAAATATGTATGACTGCTTCCAAGTTGTAGTGGACAGATTCACAGATATAGAATATTGTAATACTATACATTAATAGATATTTGTTGCTTCTGAGCCTTCTTTGCAGATATACTATGATCGTGATTATTACTATTTTGGAAAAGGATAAATTTATGCTATTGTACTATTTTTAGACACAGTTTTTCGATTTTCAATGCAATAATGGCTACCTATTCTGCAATGCTACTGTAAGATTTGCTTAGATAAAGAACTTCAATTTCTAAAGGGAAGTATTACATAAAAGTTTAATAATAACACTCAGGTTCCTATGCATAGTATTTCAACTTTTAAGATGAACAGGATTTAATTTACATAGTTATATACAGCAAAAGTAAACAACCCATTGCCGCATATAGTCTTCAGCCCCCATTTTGGGTCCCAGAGCACCTCTCCCACGCTACAGAAAGCTATACAAATTTGGTGGCAAAAAAGGGTTATTTTTAAGTGATTTTCTACTTTGTTATTTTGATTTTAAAAAACCTTCTGCAATGTAAGATCATCATTTTTATTTTGAACCATCTCCACTTTCCCCAAAAGGCTAATATTTTACATCATAGTTTTCCTGATTATGTCACTATGTCCCAAAGCACATTTTCTTTTACTTTAAAAACATGAAAAGATTAATTTTATTTCACAATATTATTTGTTAGTGAAATTTAAGACTTGATTAACAGAGCAGTACCAGTATGTAGATTTTTCAGTTCTTGTCAAATTCTTGATTTTTTTTTTAAAACTGGTGGTCAAGATCCATTTGCCTAGTCAACAAAATGGAGACAAATGTCTTTATTGAACACATGCACGCACACAGAGAGAGGGGGGAGAGAGAGAGAGAACTTGTTGGAAAGGTGAGAGAGAAGCCTTTGTGATTCCTATGACGAGGCTCTGTTTCTATTAAAACAGTTTACCGGTAGTAGTTTAGTTTTAGATTATCCAGCCCTACGTTTTCCCTCTCTTGAGTAACAGATACAGAGGACTTTTCTTCTAATTTATCTTTCTTATGCAGGAAAGACACAGGGATGTGTCCAATTCCACTTCCTTCCTTCCAACAGTATAATTTTAGTTCATCCCAGACTTCAAAGTTTGGTGGGGTTATATTTTCTTACTCATGTTCACTGAGGCAATCTTTGCTCACCATGCTGTTTATATATCTCAGAGTACAGATAGATAGCTGAATATAAATGTTCAGTTTGTTATTTAACTAAATTAGTGTAGTTATTTGCCAACAATATTGCAGCACATGCTTAGTAACACATAACCCCATGTTTAGTCCAACTTCTTCAAAAAAAAATTTAAAGTTAGAAAATGAAAAAAATACATTGTGTAGAACTGCAGTCTAACAGTACTTTTATTGACAAAATGTATGCTGGTATAAAATATTTTTCTATATACAATATGTTTAAGATTTTAGTATTAAAAAGTTAAACATAAAAATCGTAGAGTATGATAAAATGATCTTAAGAAATTGTTGTAAAGTACATTAAAATTTAGATCTTAAAATAGGCATTCTGTTAATTCACTTTAATATTAATTCACTATGTTGACTGAGGTTTTGTTTTTCATCATATTTTTTTATTTTATTAAGGCTTTTAATCCTGACAATGAGTATCATTTCAAAAACCGAATGAAAATGTGCCAAAGGAACTGGACAGAAATATTTGGGGAAGGGAATCTATATGCTGTTTCTCCTATTTCTGCTTTCCAAAAGGTAAATATAAAATGTATAGTTATTTAACAGAGACAGCACTTATGCATATTGTTTGAGATATATATGGCAAGATTTTTACATTTTAAGAATGCAACAGGTTTTTGTAGCCTTTCCTAGGTAACATTTTTATAGTATTTTTCAAGAAACTAGACAATATTCATGAAGTATCTCCTTAAGCTATATTTAATACAGATAGTCCTCGACACAACAATTTATTTAGTGACCGTTCAAAGTTACAATAGCACTGAAAAAAGTGACATGACCATTTTTCACATGACCTCTGCACCATCCCCATGGTCACGTGATCAAAATCCAGATGCTTGGCAATTGACTCCTATTTATAACGGGTTGATCACCTTTTGTGACCTTCTGACAAGCAAAGTCAATGGAGAAGCCCCATTACAACCATGTCACTAACTTAACAACTGCAGTGATTCACTTAACAGCTGTGACAAGAAAGGTCGTAAAATGGGTTAAAATTCACTTAGCAAATGTCTCACTTAGCAACAGAAATTTTGGGCTCAATTGTGATCATAAGTTGAGGACTACCTGTCATGACAATCATACTGCAGCAATGCAATCTTTTTTTTAATATGGCTTGAAAAAAACAATATAGTTTCCTTTTATTTTTAATGTCATTAAATCATGCTTCCAGAATGGAACTTTTTGATATTTGTATAGCTTTGGATTTTTTTATAATCAAATAATGTTTTCAGATTTAAAAGTAATAGTTTTTAACATGGTGCTTCATGATGAGCTATTGTTATTTTTGAGATAGTAAATCTAGAATCAAATGTTGCTCTAGTGGATGGTTTATGTTGAAAAAAATGGATAGTTCTTTAGCTCTTTAGGTGCATTTTTCAGATAATTCTTGCTAAGAATCATGTTTTGCATTTGCAGTGATCTCTAATATAAGAAGTAATTTAGATTCAGAAAACACACAATTAAAATTCCAATATTTAAAATGTATTCTCAATCATACAGGAACCACATGGATGGCTAGTAGACTTAGTGAATAGGGTAAGTAAATAAAAATACTGTCTAATCTCTATCATGTGTAACTATATAGAACTTTAATATTTTTTTTAAAAAAATAACATTCTCACCCTAGAGAGCATATAAGAATAGAAAAAGTGGAAAGTTCGTCAAACTTTTATCCAGGATATATAGAAAGAAAGTTATGTTGTAGTTATGTGCCAATAATCACCCTATACAATGTATTTGGTGTCTGAGATATCTTACTGTGATATTTCAAGTGAGATAATAGAGTTTTCAGGAAAAAAGGTATATACTGAAGCAGAACTAATATTGGTTTTCATTTCGTATGATGAGTTTGAGTTTTTCCCTCTCTTATTGAACTAATCCAGGAAGCCCTATTCTTTTACTACCAGGGAACAATAGCATGAAATAAATGTTACAGTATTCTATCTTTTTGAGATATTTCAGACTGGGTTTATTTGTACTTATGATTATTTATTTAGTGATTGAAAATTTATTTAAATTAGTATATATTTGGGCATGTCTATGTACTTAATTTTTTTTCTACTTTCTACCAATTTGGATTTTGCTTAGTTTGCAGAATTAGGAGGATTTTCTGCAATTCAGTCTAAACTTCATTCAGAAGACATTGAACTTGGGGTAAGTTAAATGTATTTGGTTATGCTAATTGTAGTTTATTATAGGTAAGTGTCTCTGAGCTTTCTGGTATTATAGAAATAAAGGAACATCAGTATTGGATAAGTCAATTATAATTTCAGTGGTATTTTTACCATAAGTTCAACTCTCAGTTGCCGTTGTAAAACTTTATGGTTGCATTACCAGTGGATTGTATTTGTTATTTTATCAGATATCACTATATTGGACCTGGTTATTCATTAGTTCATTTTAGACATACTATATTGTTTAACATGTTTATCACATACCTATTTGTGAAGCATTTATGTAGGGAGTATTCTCTGTTTGTTTTTAAATATTTCTTCTTCTAGGCAGTCTCTTCATTGGTTCAGCCTTTGGGAGTTTGTGCTGAGTATCTAAATTCTTCAGTGGTACAGGTAATTAACTTTGAATAATGATGCAGTAGATAGAGTTTGGATTTTTATTTCTTTTTAATAGTAATAGAATTATTACAGTTGTGTGAGGATAAATTCAGATCTGCATAGAGATGATTTCAGGTACTTTGACCAATGTTGACATAGCTATGTTTATAATGAGTGCTAGCCAAAAGGAGCATAAGAGGAATGGGCTGTCTCTTATATGAATGGGAAGTACTTATACTCACAGATTAGGATTATAATTTTTACTGACTTGCTGCAGTTTGCACTATACTGACTCCCAACCAATTTTCCCTTCTAAAAGGATGGAAATATTGTAGTATGAAGATCTTACAGGTATATTTTTCTCTCTAGGATGCTAAATTAGTATTCCTTCATTTTACAGCCCATGTTGGATCCAGTCATTCATAATATGATTAAATACGTTCAAAATATTGAAGAAAAAGACCTAAAAGACAAGGTAGCCCTGGATTTCCTAAGTATAACCCAAAATTGTCATTATAATATTAACTGAATAACTGTTGTGCCTAGTTTATTCAAGTTATCCTGAAACTTCTCAGATGATTTTTGCCTTAATGATGTCAGTTACATTGCATCTGGTACATTATTATCTTTGTTGTATGTTTTTAATTAACATTTCCTGGTGTTGTTGCAAATTTCCACTCTTCACCAAGTTAAATGATGTAATCTCTGTTGACAAAATATGTTCCTGTGAATTATGTAGACTATTCATAACTTTTCTCTTTCACAGAAGCTAGTCAGTATTCCTGAACTCTTGTCTGCCATCAAGCTCCTCTGTATGCGGTTTCAGCCTGATTTAGTAACAGTAGTAGATGATCTACGGCTAGATATCCTACTACGTATGTTGAAATCACCTCATTTCAGTGCAAAAATGAACTCTCTAAAAGAAGTAAGTTTATTAAGCTAAAATCTTAAAATTGACCATAATTGGGTTACTATAGAACAAGGGTGCCAAACTCGCAAGTCACGTGACGTGTCGCGACATATCATGATTTTTTTGCCATTGCCAGCAATGGCGTGGGCATGTTTCACTATGGTGCATCCGGCCCATGGGCCGGCAGTTTGACACCCCTGCTATAGAGTACTGAGATATTAGAGTATTCTAGTACTAGAATACTAGAATTTTTTAGTTCACTCAGTATTTAAAGAAAACCAACAGCAGTTGGTAGCAGCTAACTAAATTTGACTGACCTTTAAAAAAAAATGATAAACTGAATTAAATTTAGTAGTAATTAAATTTAGATATTTGTTTACTGTGCAAGATCTGCTTTTAGGTGAATAAATATTCGGGTGTTTCAAGACTGGCGCATTATCTGGGAATCAGCTTTTCAATTAGCTGAGTATTTCCCTCCATCTACTTATCTATTCCATTCACTGAAAAGGGTGATTTAGTTTAGAATCCTCCCTCTACATGATAGGGTACCTGTAGTGAAAAAACAATACCCATTTGGGAATCATTATGATAGGAACTTAAAATCAAGCTGCCATTATAATGCCTTGATGCAGATTTTTGTGTGACTACACTTTAAAGCCACGCATAGTTCTGGGTGTGAAAAGGATATGGTGGGCTGGAAAGGATCCAAAAAACAAAGCAATCGATATGTCAAGAGGACAAAGCAATTCTTCTATTAAAATGTTAATACTATTTAGAAATATTTAATTTAGGGGAGAGAGTAATAAAACAGGATTTGAGACAAGTATACAAAATTGTAGCATGATGTGGATATAGAGAACAGAAAGAAGTTGAGAAACCTAGAAGATGAGACACAGTTGAATCTCATGTGGACTTTGCACTAACATCCATTTAACTGCTATAATAATAATAATAATAATAATAATAATAATAATAATAATAATAATAATAATAATAATAATAATGCATCTAGTTAAGTCTTTTTAATCTTCAGGCTCTTTTCTTCTTTCCATAGTAATAAACTGAAAAAAGTTTAGTGAACTGTTCTAAAAGACTTTCTCTCTGCTCTGGGCAATATGGTACACACTGTTTTCAGGCCTTGTATATCTTTTATTATAAGGGCAATTCTTTATTATTTTATAGCTGCATCTGTTCTTATTTTTAGGTAACAAAACTAATTGAAGATAGCACTTTATCCAAATCGGTAAAAAATGCAATAGATACAGATCGTTTACTAAACTGGCTAGTAGAAAACTCTGTCCTATCCATTGCATTAGAAGGTATGTGTACAAATGTCTTCTGAATTTCATTTACATTCTGACTGTGATCAATCAAAAGGTTTAAACATGTCTGGAAATGAAAAATAACTTCTGCGAGCACAAGGTTCAGGTGCTTTTCATTTCTCCCTCTTTTAGTATAATCATTAAAATAGTAGTCCCAAAAGTGCTTTTCCAAAAGGCAACTGATCTATCTTGGATTTTTCTTTGAAAACATTTCACTTCTCATCCAAGAAGCCTAGATGAGAAAAAGCTGACATCAGAACTGAAGAAGCTTCTTGGATGACAAGTGAAATGTTTTCAAGGAAAAAAACCAAGAAAGTTCAGTTCCCTTTTGGAAAGGCACCTTTGGGACAACCATGACCTGGTTGATTGAGAATTTCTATAGTATTTAAATTTTTTGCTCGGATTTACTACAATTTATTGAATTATGTGAACTATGGTTAATCTTAAATTTTAACCATAGTTAATTCAAGCAAGCTAATATAATAAAGTTGGATTGTTTTCATTATTCACAGTAAAGATTAATCATTGTTTACTTGGCTTGGAGTTGCACAAAAGAGAAAGATAATAATTGGAATAATTTCCAATCTTTTCTTTTTAGTTGCACAAGGAGAGGGTAGAAGAACAATGAGTGCACAGCTTACTGTAGTTTGTTCTTATGATGCATTACACTTGAACCAATTATATATAAGAACTATTGTTTCAAGATTATTCTTGTTTGAAGTTCAAATTTTGACAAATTTTTAGTTAGATTTCTGAAACGAAATCATGTTATTTTAAGGCAAAAGCAGCCAGAAGGAAATTCAATCTCTTTTCAGTTGTTGCTGTTTTGTCTATTAGGTTTTTTTTTTCCATTTATTTTTTTCTTTCATCTTCCAAGGACCTCAGGGCATGTGATAGTCAGATAGTGATGCCATCAGTGAGGGACAGAGCAGAATGTTTTGTTCTTTCTGTAAAATAATTGATAAGAAATAACTGTGTGAAGTCCCACAGAGGCTTGTTATATACTTTCAATGCATCCTATTAAAAATAAGTAAACAATCATGGGACAGTTGAAAATGGCAGCTCCCCAAATATGAGTTTAGCAGAACTTGTACAAAATGTTAATTTACTATAATGGTTATGCATTGAGTAAGATAGGAAGCTAATGGTCTGTTTTACTGCATTTGTTGTCTATATCAGGGGTCCCCAACCTATGGGCCGTGGCCCACCACCGGGCCTTGGCCACTGGGCCACAGAAATTTATGGCCGGTGCACGCACATGTGCGTGCACACTCCCCGCAACTCGCACTAGCACCCGTGGCCCTGTTTGCACATGCATGTGGGCATGAACAGGGCGGCTAGCATCGGGCAGTGTGTGCAGCCCGTTTGCACATGAGTGAATGGGGCCATTAGCGCTGGGTGGATGTGCGCGGCCCATTTGCCCATGCACAAATGGGACTGCTGGTGCTGCACCAGCGCGCAAGCTGCTGTTTGTGTGCGCGCACACCAATTTGAAACCTGCTCTCCTTCTCTCCAGGTTGCAAGCCCGGAAAGGTTGGAGACCTCTGATATATATTGTCTATATTTTTGTTCTAGGTAACATAGATCAAGCACAATATTGTGATCGCATCAAGGGAATTATTGAGCTATTGGGCAGCAAGCTATCTCTGGACGAATTGACCAAAATTTGGCGAATACAGGTGAGGATTTTTACCTGTTAAATTATATCCTGTTCTTGAAAAGCTTAGAAAGAATTTTCACATCTGTGTTTTCAGGAATAGTTGCACATCAGGAAATGAGATTTGTTTTTAAAAATTTCTGTGAAAAAGAATTTTTAAAAAAGTATTTTACAACACGTCTGTGTTAGAGAAACTACTATGATATTGCACTAACCTGCAAATATAGGTGTTTTTATATTTTTTAGTACTCAAATCTTTTTTGTTTAATATAGAATTTGAAAGATTTGAATACTCGTCTTACAGAAACATATTCAATGTGTATCAGAAATTCTCAGAAATTCACCAAGGATGTCAGCTAGAAATAGTGATTCACTCAGTTATAGTTATCTATGGAGATTAAGGATTTTATTTCTCTGCAGATGACATGAACTGATATGGTGACAGATGAATACATAGAGCTGATATATATTATGAAAACTTGGTTGAGCAACGTTAGGGATGTAGCATCATGGAAATTGCCCTTTATATATTTCAAGCTGATCAAGTCAAGGAGGAAGGGTGACCATAATTGCATGTAACACCCTCACAAAAATTGGAAACAGGAGGAAACTGATTGCAAGTCCAATGCATAGAATTACCACAAAAACAATTTAGGACTGCTGGGAGTGTATCAAATGTCAAGTAGCTTGGTAGCAGACATTAATGAACTCCTAGGCATCATTTCAGGGCTGATGTTGGAGTTTCCAAGGATTTTAGTGCTGGATGGCTCCAATTTTCATGTCTTGGGAGGAGATAGAAATTGTCCCATGTAGCTAAATCCAGACACATTTACTACACTGTACTCAGTACAACCCCTTTTACAAAGGCTGTACTAAGCGCCGCCTTCTGGGCAAATGGATAACATATTCTGTCAAAAAAAATGTTAACTCCTTTGTGAATCCAGCTGTTCATATTCCTCCTGGCCCCCAAAGAGAACCTACAGTGGTTATAAAAAGTCTATGCAACCTGTCCATGGAAAGGGGAATACCTTCTAATTTACAGTAGCTAGGTTTCTTTAACTTGATGTGTCCTTTCCCTCCCTTCTTCCCCTAATCCCAATTCCTTTGAAGTCAGGACAACCATCAACTGTGATAGAGAACATCCACACTATTATTGCAGCAGCTGCTGTGAAGTTCAGCTCAGATCAGCTAAGTCATCTTTTTATCCTTATTCAGAAGGTAAGGATTGTTTTAGTTTAACTCTGTTATTACCGTTAAAATCAAGCCTAGCCTAGTCTTACTTTTTAGCAATCATATTTACAAAATTACTTGCATGTCTGACATATTTTTCTTAAATAGAATTTGCGGGGGGGAAATTGCAGCATAATTAATTACGTAATTACAAATAGGCTTTTAAATACAATTTTCGATGTAAATAAAAACCCTTCTGAATTTCCAATTGAAAGTAGGCTACTCCTCTTAGTAGTTCATTTTATGCTCTTACTTAGGTCAAATACATTTGGCTGTTAAGTGTGCTCAGCTTTAGACCTTCTAAAATTTCTTAGATGTTTTTAAAAATGAGATTTGTATGAGTGGAATTAAATTAAGCATACATTTCATTTCCATTTTCCTTATATGCTCTCGGATTTGTATTTGGTTAAATTAAGTATTGGAAAAATGTGTTAGAATATGTTTTAATTGGCTTTGTGTTTATCTATTTTTCCCCCTTTTTTTAAGAGTTGGGAGTGTGAGACTGATAGAGTGCGGCAGAAACTCTTAAGCTTAATAGGACGTATTGGACGGGAAGCACGTGTAGAGGCAACCACTGGAAAGGCAGGTGGAACATTTTTTTAAGAGAATGCACATGACTTACATTGTTTTAAGCTGCTTAGAGTCGCCTCTAGGCAAGATGGACAGCATATACGTTTAAAAAAATATTCCTGCAACAGACAGTGATAACTGGACGTGCATTCTTCTAGGTTCTTGAAGTTCTCTGGGACTTGGCTCATCTTCCAACACTACCTAGCAGCTTGATTCAGCAGGCTCTGGAGGAGCATTTGACAATCCTTAGTGATGCATATGCAGTAAAGGAGGCAATCAAAAGAAGCTATATCATCAAATGTATAGAAGATATTAAGAAGGTTGGTTTGTCTTCAGAATTAGCTTCAGAATTCATATTTTTAAGATATATTTCCTTTCTATTATCATGAGTTCTAGCATTTTTTTAATTCAATGTGATACAAACTACAAGAATTAGTTATCCTGTTACGTAGCACTTTTTGAAGGCAGTAGAAAATAAAAACTGATTGAGTGAGCTAAATCTCATGCTTTTGTTTTAAGTTTGTTTCATGTTTCTGTTTTATTTGGCAAAAATGCAGTTATTGGATTATAGCAAAGAAATTTTCAGCTAAATCCAGGAATTAAGCAAATGTAAACTTTTGATGTTTAAACAATTTAGATTATATAATGAAAGATGTTTAAAGGTCAAGTTTAGACAATTTTGGAAAGTTTTAGAACTTGTTTATACATTCAAAGAATATTAGTTTTTTCCTAATATAAATTAATTTTAATTATTTTAAGTGCTTTTTCTGTATAAAAGAGAAAAAAATAGTGTTGTACATTTAAACTAATAAGTCTTCTGAAGAGAACTATGCTGTGGAGAGTATGTTAGTCCAAATATTCCAATTTAATTCTTTATATAGTGTAATCTATCGGATATCTGTTGTTGCTGTTGTTATTAGTGGGAGTGTAATTATGACTTTTATACATGTATAGCTCAGCTTTCTTTTGGGAGCTCAAGGCGTGTCACATAGAGAGGGGTTTTTTTTGTTCCATCCTCAATATTTCTTAACCTTTTTAAAATCACCTTGTGAGTTTCCATTAGAGTTAGGGTTGGGATTTGATCTTAGGTCTCCCAGGGGATATTCCAGCATCTTTAGGTTCTTTGCCATTCTGGCCAGTTTCTCCAGTAATTTTATAATGTTTAAAATATCTATAAGGTTTAGTATAATCTAGAAATATTTCACTAAATAAAAAAAATAGTCTGAGTTTAGTCAGTGCATAACCAGTTTGAAACACCATCGTAAAGGTATCATATTTGCAGAAGCAATGCAAATTATTTCAGGTACAAGGCTCCGCAAATACCAATTTGCTCTTTGTTGCTGTGATTACTTGTTTCAACTCAGTCTTAGAAAAACTGAGTTCCTTTCTCAGTGTCAGTACTCTTCCTATAATTTATTTTAATCTTTAAGGATATGTCATAATATCTTCTTTTAAATTTCTTTCCTTTTTGATGACTGTAATCTTGATTTTTTTTTCAAGCCAACCTTTTGTCTGAATATGATATAAATCCTGATTGACATGTCATACTCTGTTTTTTGTTTTTATCTCCTCTGTTTTTGTCAATTTCTTGCTGTTCTTCATCATTCTCTAAATTCTCAATGAAATTTAGCATTTGCAGTTATGACTGTGAGCTCTTTGATTATTTTTGCATGGTCTGCTCAGTGTCACAAAAGACCCTGTTCCCATGGTTTTGCTGGGTACACAAGAAAAGGTGGTTGGGATAATAAATTTATTTATTTACAACTGTAATTGAGTCCAGTCGTATGAATTACAGTCATGCCAGTCATTAAGTGGGTCCTCATGTGGCTAACCTGATTTTACACGTTTGTGGCATTCATTAAGAGAACACCCTGGCCATTAAACTAAGCCATTGCCTGCAATAGGTGCTTTTTGTTGGAAACCAGAAATAAATATTGGGTTCTGGCAGAAAAACACCATAAATAGTCACATGATTGTGAGGCACTGCAAGCAGCCATAAAGGTAGGCCAGTTGCTGAGCACCCAAAATATGGGGGGGTTGTCAAAATGCTGAATGAATCAGGGATACAAGTACCTTTTGGCGGGTCCATTGTAACTTCAAATGATCACTAAATGACTGGCTATAATTCAAGTACTACTTGTAATCTAATTATAAAGATCACTTGGATAGCTTCTATTGATCCCTGAATCTCGTACGTCTCTTTTATGTGCGAACTTTTATTTTTGGTACAGTAACTGAATTACTATCTATAGTATACTAGAACAGCAGACCAAAATCAGAACTTTGCAGAGAGTTTCAAATTGGGGCAGAGTATGTTAAAGACATCCGCCTGGGTACATCTGTTCTGAATTCACTTCAGGATTCATCCAGGCCCACAACTCAATTTCAGTATCTGTGACTATCTGATCAGTGTTATATACAGATTTCTAAAAGATAAGTTGGAAAAAAATCTTTTAAATCTAGGAAAACTTAAGAATAATTTGTAAAAGTAGTCTAAAATAAGAAACAGAGCTATGAAAATCTATGCTGTGTATCCATGGATTCTAAATATATAACTTGTTGGTATCTTTTATCAGTCATCCCAGCACAATAATCCTCAGATTGTGTGGGTGGTACCAGCTTTACGCCAACTCCATGAGATCACACGGTCGTTTATTAAACAAACCTACCAAAAGCAAGATAAGGTGAGTACTGTGTCTTTTTCATGCACACATACAGAGAAAGGGAGTGAAGGTGGAAAAATAAAAATGGGAAACTTTACTATACATGTTTATCAAGTTACATATTATCACCTTGATAAAGGGTAGTTGGACCTTGACAAGGAAATCAGGATTAGAAATACTTTGTTATATTTGAATGTACATATTATCTTTCTGGAGAGACAATATGCAACCTATTTAGCAATGACAAAACAAAAGCTAAAAGACTAAAGAAAACATTAAATCATCTGTGGTCTTGTATTTATGAAAATATCAAATAACATTCAGTTTAAAGCCAGATTAAACATTAAAAAATAAACCAAGAAAAGTTCACCTAGCAGTGAAACAGTATGATAAGAACAAAGAATGCTTTACTAATTATTTATGTTGTGAATAAATACATAACTTGTGGCTATGTTTTTCATGAATAATTTGTGCTATTGTCACAGTAAATTGAAGTATTAAATTAAGAAAGGTACACTTTACATTAATACTAAAATTTAATGATTAAATTATGTTTATTTTAGAAATGAAGTATTTTGTTCAGTGTTAAGAAAAATGGAAATGTTCAACATGTATTCAAAATACATGGCAGTTTATTCCAGAAGCATGAATAGGATATAAACTGCATAATCTTATGCCTCCATAGGATTTGTGCTCAGAGATGCCTGCAGGAAACTTCCACTTATTTAAAATCTGATTGTTTTAATCAGGTTTATATTATATAATATGGTGTAATATAATATAGTGTAATATAATATAGTGCAATATAATATAATGTAATGTAATCTAATACAATACAATACAATATATAAAGTGTATATATTCTAATAACTTATTTAACAGATTTTTTTAATATTTTTGTCAAGAGCATTATTCAAGACTTGAAGAAAAACTTTGAGATAGTGAAACTGGTAACAGGAAGCTTAATAGCTTGCCACAGATTGGCTGCCTCAGTAGCAGGTGCCGGAGGCCTTTCAGGAACAACATTGGTGGATGGCCGGTACACCTATCGGGAGGTAAGCAAACAATGGCTTATAAAAACTAAAACAAATACAAATGAGGTCCTTAAAAAGGAAAAATATGAGCACAAAAATAATGTAAAAGAATCTCTTCAAAAATATTCAGTGCAACTCAAGTGTATTATTTTTCTCTTTCCAGTACTTAGAGGCACACCTCAAATTTCTGGCATTTTTTCTTCAAGAGGCCACCCTCTATTTAGGATGGAATCGTGCTCGGGAAATCTGGGAATGCCTTGTAACAGGTCAAGATGTTTGTGAGCTAGATCGAGAGGTGAGATCCCGCAAATGGTAGGCAAGCAATTTATGTAAAAATGCAGGTTTGATCAGAATGCTTCCTATTGTAACGCCTCTTGATTACCCATACTACTACATCCAATTTTTTATTCATTTGTAAGCTCAATTATATTGATACCCTGCTGAGCTGATTCAAGTTGCGAAAATAGAAACAGTATTTTTTTAAAAAGGAAATACAAGGTAAGCATAAAGCTAATCAAAATAAATATCAGTAAATATACCTTACTGGATATTTATGCATACATGAAACTTTGAATAATAGGCACTTACTGACTAAATTCTGGCTCATGAAATAAGCAACAATGTATTTGCCTATTAAAGTAAGGAAAGTTAGAAAATTGTGTGTTTCTCTTACAGATGTGCTTTGAATGGTTTACAAAAGGACAGCATGACCTTGAAGGTGACGTGCAGCAGCAGCTTTTTAAAGAAAAAATTCTTAAATTGGAGTCCTATGAAATCACTATGAATGGTATGTTAAGTATTTTTGTCTTTTGGGATTTCAGAATAATCCTGAAAGTCTGTCAGATACTTTGGGATAAAAGTAGTGAATTTTCTGATGCTGTAAATCTTGTTAGTTTCAAAAAAATCCTTAGGGAGTCAAGTAGGTAGGAAGTACTTTCTCATTCCTTCTCTATCTGCCAATCGCTCTCTGAATAATAATTTTGAGATCCTGGCATGGATGATGTAGGATGCAGCACTGGAGACTGGGAAAAGGAGATGTCCAAATTGGCTATTCTCTAGAGGAATGCATTTATATTTCACTTCCAGGCCCAGTAGCTCTTCCCATTGACCAAGGCCTCCCAATTCTTAAAAGAGGTGTTTCAGGAGGAAAGGTTGAAAACTGATCTCCATTTCCCAGCCCTTTGTCTTTGTAGTTCTCTGAATCCAATCTAGTAAATGGTTTTTGAGGGGAATAAGGGGGGTATAATTAAATCTAAACAATATTGACCTATTGTCAGTTTGCCTGAAAGCAACTGTTTTATATCGCCAATATTTGTGCTATGTATTTAAATAAAAATAGTGGGATTCCTTTACACCGTTCATTTTTAAAAACAGGTTTTGGTTTGTTTAAGACCTTTTTTGAAAATGTGAATCTTTGTGATCATCGATTAAAACGACAAGGAACTCAATTGGTAAGCATTTTTCTATAATCATATACTGTATACCATTCACATTTCACAGGCAAAATAGTATAAGAAGGAAAAAATGATGGCTAGGTGCTGGTTCTTTTAGGATTAGGAGTTTGGATTTGCCCTAAATTTAAATCTAAAACTAAACTATAGGGCAAATATAAACCCTTAATCCTTTAGGGGTTTACTTTTATGTCAGCTCACTTGAATGTTACCAATTCTGTTATTCAACTTGCTATTTAATTTGTATATGTTACAAGAATGCAGTTGACATACATAGAAACTTTTAAAATAATAAAAACAGCTTTGCTATATTAATAGCAAAGAACTATAGAACTATAATATAGTCTGGTTTTCTCTTGGAATAAACTTAACATAAGTATAAAAGAATAAATTGCAGTTTATACCATTTACTATCATAAAACTGTGTGCTAAGCCATTGTTGTAAATTGGCTTATAAAGATAACTGTGATTTTGTACAATATACTACAGGAATGCATGGTGAGTTTTGCTTTATTTGGTTTTCTGTTTAGGTTATTATCCCCTTCCAAAGCTTTTAACTTGATCTTTAGAAATATAAGGGAAGAATAGTTACGAAAGAAATTAAAAGAAAAAGAGATTGGCCAAACATGGATTGCAATATATTAATTTTGCTCATTTATGAAATTGACTTTGTGTTACTTTTAGTTTGTTCAATAAACTGTTTTAGTGTGACACATGAACCCACAGCATATTTAAGGTGTCTATGTTACTATGTTTAAAAGTCTTTGTAAATTTGATTATTTTGAGGTTATCTGTAACGTATTATCTGCTCCAAGTACTGACTTTTCTTTGTTTCTGCAGCAAGTAGAAAAACTGGAATTAATAGGAATGGATTTTATTTGGAAAATTGCAATGGAGTCACCAGATGAAGAAATAGCTAACGAAGCTATCCAGTTAATAATAAACTATAGTTACATTAATTTAAATCCACGATTGAAAAAGGTAATAATTCTGAATTAATTTCATGTACAATGGGTAGAGCTGTGTGGTACGTAGATGAGGCTAGGCACTAGGGTTTATCTTTTTTCTGTTTTGTTTTTTGTTTGTTTTGTGAGAGGGAGATAGGAGGCTAAAAGCTAAGGATATATTCTGTAGCTTATTTCTGTTCCTAGCATCAGAATGGCAACAGTGGTTAGAATGCAATATTTTAGGCTAACTCTGCTCACAGTCTGGAGTCCCATCCTGACGGGCTCAAGGTTGACTCAGCCTTCCATATTTTTGAGATTGGTGAAATGAGGACCCGAGTTGTTGGGGGCAATATGCTGACATTGTAAGCATATTGAAAGAGTGCTGTAAAGCACTAGGGGCAGTATCTAAGTGGTATGGCTAGTTTCAGTCATGTAATCAGCTGACTCCTTATACCATATATGAAAAGTTGCTGATTTTATAAGTGGGCAATATAATGGCCAACACTGCTTTAATGTTTTAGAATAAACAAATTTAAAGAAGATTTAGACTTCCTTGATTGTCCCAATAANATTGAAAGAGTGCTGTAAAGCACTAGGGGCAGTATCTAAGTGGTATGGCTAGTTTCAGTCATGTAATCAGCTGACTCCTTATACCATATATGAAAAGTTGCTGATTTTATAAGTGGGCAATATAATGGCCAACACTGCTTTAATGTTTTAGAATAAACAAATTTAAAGAAGATTTAGACTTCCTTGATTGTCCCAATAAAAGGAAAGTTGCAAGAGAAAAGATTTTTTAATTAGCTCTCTATTAATTCCAGTGTTTATTTGAGTTGAGTTATAAGGAAAATCATAATTAAGGTTTCCTCTTGGAAAGTTTGTTTGTTTTGAGAAAGAAGACATTGATTATGTAGGCATTTGGCAGATACTTAATTAGTAATTTTCTGGGATTTTGGCTTGGGAGCAAGAGTTTGTTTTGCTGCTTTGATCATTTTCACTAGCTCTTCCCGTGAGCTGACAAACTCCAGATGGTTTTGTCTTCTTTACCATGTCATCCAAATCAATGCTTGGAAGATATGCTAAACATATTGTTGATGAAGGCCATCCATAGCTTCTTTGCTGGATTCATAGAGTCAGCAGGAATAAGCAGAGAAATATGTACTATTGTTTATATTGTTGTGTTGCATAAATATGCCCCAAAATACAATGGCTAACCATTAACATTTACATTTTTTTTTATTCTTACGATTCTACGATTTTACTTTGGATGCTATTTCTGGAACAAAATAGAACATTTGAGCCAAAATTTTTAGTAAACTATAAGCAAAATACATATTAACAGGCATTTAGAAATCTGATATGTTCCATAACACAGTAAAATACAATAAACTATTCATTGTCACATCTTAGATATGGGATATGAAGAAAGAAAAAAAATTTGTCGTTCATTGTTATGCTAGCAAATTATTAGGTTAGACTGGTTTGAATTACATAACAAGTTTATTAAGCAATTATTTTGCTTTTTCTCAATCTTATTCATGTTTGCATTTAGCAATTTAGGTTTTAAATAATGCTGGTTTTTCTATATATATTTAATTGATTACTTTTTATTATTTTCAGGATTCTGTGTCACTCCATAAGAAATTCATTGCTGATTGTTATTCAAGATTAGAAGTAAGGGTTCACTTTCTAAAATAATATTTCTTGTTTTATTTTGTTCTTGTACAATTCTAGAGTCATAATCAAATGTTCCATAAAGTTACTTTCTTGAATATCAATAAATTGGGGAGTTGTAAAAGTGGTTTCTGAACAAAATTGCTCTACCTGTTAACTGCAGCTTCAATGAAATATTTATTTCATTAACATCAAAGTTTGTGTACAGTAGTAGTAGTAGTAGTAGTAGTAGTAGTAGTAGTAGTAGTAGTAGTAATAAAGTTGGAAGGTACCTTGGAGGTCATCTAGACCAACCCCCTGCTCAGGCAGGAAATCCTATACCTATATCTCCTTTTTATTTTCCCAATGTGGCCTCAGTGGTTGCTGTCCTCTTAATAGCCTTCACTTTAGTTCAGCAATAGTGTTTTTCATTTTAGGCAGCCAGTTCAGCTCTTGGTGGCCCAACGCTGACTCATGCTGTTACCAGAGCTACCAAAATGCTGACAGCAACTGCCATGCCCACTGTGGCAACATCAGTACAATCTCCATACAGGTAAGCTTACACTTCACAATATGTAGACTTTATCCATGTTCCTTGTCAATTCCCAGGACTGCATACAAGAGAGAAATGTCTTTTGGATGTGCAAAAGATGCTTGAAGATCAAAATGTCAATTTCATGTTTCCCAATTTTTTAAAAAAGTGTATTGTGGAGTTCTGTGCTAAACTTGGAAAAAATACTCTTATGTTTCCCTGAACTGGGGACCAAACAGAACTCTTATGATCTGTGCTGTTTTTTCAATTGCTCACCATATGTGAACGGTGGGTTTTGTTTTTTAAAGAATTCAAGGAAGTAGACACTTGGAGATCCAATAGAAGGCATAGATTCCAGTCATGTTTCTAGAACTAGTTGAGGGATGAGATGATCTTGGAGGTGACAGTTACATACATGATCAAAGTTTAAGAACATTATAGGGCAGAGAAAATGGACATTGTGTTTTTAAGTTCTTTGTTACAGAAATATAACAATCACTAGGTTCTAAATAATGTAATCATTTCTATCTGTGTGTTTTCTTTTGCAGTCAGGTAATGAAATGCCAGAATGATAACTATATGCGTGCAGAACTGTGATTAATAGCATTGTGTGCTGGTTAGTGACTGCAATAATGTCAAGGAAGGAATAGTATTAAACTTTCACATCTTATAAACTCAAATCTGTTTAAACTATTGCTGTTTGCATCTGTGGCAAATAGTTTATGTGAATAAAATAACATTATCAAAAGCAGAAATAGACTTTTACAGCTTTTGGCTTGAAGTTTCTTCCTAATGCTCAAACATCTATGTGAATAAAATAAAATGAATCATTTAGATGGTGCTTCATTGCTATATTCTGTTCTGTGTTAGTATTTGAAGGCAGAAGCCACAAAAGAGTCCTTAACAGTTGTTTTCATTGTTTGCTGTGTAGCTTTTAAAAATAGTTAAAATGGTTAAATTGGGCACACGGCTAAAGTGAGAGGTTTTCTTAATTGGACTGTCCTATTAAGATTGTTGAAAAGAGCAAACACATTATATTTAATTATTTGACACCTGCAATATTAATATGTTCTGACGCTTGTAAGCATGCTCCTTCTTTGTACATATTTTTATCCTATTAATGTGGATGTCCTACATCATTTTTTTAACTTACTAATATAATATAATTGTGACCAATATTATTTTGGACTAAAACTCATCCCAGATACAAAATATACAGAAAACTTGTACTCTTTTCCGTTTCTTCTTTTGCTGTGAACCATTGGACTGAGACTGTACATAAAGGAAGAGATAAATATTGTAATTGAATCTTCATGTGTGATACATTTCATTGATCGAAATTAGTCTAGTATATTAAAATAATTGCTTCACGCTCTCCCTTATCACTTGAGGTGGGAGGGCTTTTCTATTCAATGGTAGCCCTCTTTTCTTTTAAAATATAGTTACACTACTGTTTTTTAGAAATAGTCAAAATCAGCTCCTTATTTAATTGCTACTTTGGAGCTAAACACACATGTACACGTACATGCATGTACTTAATACTATTTCGTGTAAGACGTGCTTATATCATGTACCAGAAAACAATTCCAAGATAAGAAAATGATGCCACTTCTCTGAAAATATTTTTCAGAAACTCATTCAAATCTCTGCTATTTATTCAAAGGCCATCCAAATATACAAATATGCAATTCAAAATCAGTTCAAATATTGTTTGAAAGTTATCTAAATCTCTGCTATTTTAAATCTCTGCTACTCTAGGTCAACAAAACTTGTAATAATTGAGAGACTGCTACTTCTGGCAGAACGCTATGTTATCACAATAGAGGTAAAAGAAAAATGGTTTTGTACAGATATTTTATTTACTAAATGCTTAGTTTGTATCTGGGAATCCTTTGTTTAATTTCTGTTTCTATAATTGGATTCATTCTGCAGCTTAATTCAGATATGTATCCCTTAGTCCAAGTTTAAGAAATCTTGCAGTGAGAATATGCTGGGAGTATGGAGTCGGGTGGGGGAATAAGGACAAATGTGATTAGAAGACAGTTTTAATAGCTGCAAAATCTATACGTAAAGTCAATTTTCTGTGGGCAGAAAATGTCTGTCAAGAAAATTAAGACAACTGACTCCTGGAATTATCAATGATAGCTTTCAATTTATCCATTGTCATAATTGTATGTCATAAATTGGTTGCTTTTAGACCATTTTATTTAAGACATAAATTTTCATGAGCTGAAGCTGACTTCATCAAATACATGGAATGACCTGACTAATGTGGTATTTAAATATATTGGGATGATGAAAGGAAGGGGGAAACGGTGGTTATGCTGATAGAAATTCCTTAGGAAGCAGAATGCAATTACCTATCAGTTAAAAATGGAAATGTATTAAGAACTTATATTAAGAACTTATTGTGTATGTTCTTCTAAAATAGCTTGAAATCTCTTGATGTACTGTATACATGTATGTTCCTATGTTTCCTACTCAGTTGTTTTAGCAAAGTTTCTTTGTTCCAAACTCCACTTTGAGCTCTGTGAGGGAATGTCTTGGAAGATTAAAATACTGCTGTTAACTTGATTTTGTTTTGAGTTCTGATGACAAGCTAGCGTCCATTAATTCTTTTGTGCAAGGGCTGACCTGTTTGTCTTATGTAGAATCCAGACAGCATTGCTGGCAGATGATGACATGTTTCACATTAGAAGACATGTGCAGGCTATTCTAACTTGGTGTGTAAAGCTTTGTGTGTAATGGTAAACATTAATGTAAATGTGGGGTAGACAACTGGGCTTGCTGCAAGGTATGGTTCCCATGCTGGTATTGTGTCCTGGTGCTTGTAAGAATCTTCTTCAGGTTGGGTATGCAAGTATGGGCTTGCCACCCAAACCTATGAAAGCGTAACATCATGGTCCAGTAGGGGCTGCAGATTAGTATTGGTGTGTTTGAGTAGTTGAGCTGTGAATAACAACCCAGCATATTCTGTTGTTTTGCCTTTGTAGCTAGTAATTTAATAGGATCTCCCCTGGGGATTGGTCTGTGTTGATCTGCACACTGAGCTCACAGTGTGTGTAGTTCAGCCTGGCTTGTTTTTGCCAGTTGAGTATCACTGCCTATAGTGTCAATATTCATGTAATTATAATGGAGAGCCTAACTATAAATTTAGAGTTGATTTGTTGGTATGTTCTGGATTGAAGGAGGATGTTTCCTTTGTAATTGCATGTGGTCGTAAATGAGGCCAGTTGATTGTTGACCCTGCATGCTGCTGAAGTGGTATGAATAATATACAGTGGTGCTTAAAAGTTTATGAATCCTTTTGAATTTTTATTATTTTGCTTAAATATGACCTATGATGTGATCTCTATACAAGTAGCATAACTAGATAAAGAGAAACTGATTAAGCAAGTGAGTCAAAACTTATTCATTTATTTATTGAGGAAAATGATCCAAAGGTATATATTATTATATTTTTATTTTCCTTTCCTCTATAGGATCTTTACTCTGTTCCTCGTACTATTCTACCTCACGGTGCTTCCTTTCATGGGCATCTTTTAACTCTCAATGTTACATATGAGTCTACCAAAGATACATTTACAGTAGAGGTATGTAATTTTATAGTGTGGTAATATTTCTAGGATTGCAGAATTTCCTAATTTAAAAAAGATTGATAGGAGACATAATATGTAATATGCTGAAAAACATGAGAACTTGAGAGACAGCGTGGAGCATATTAATATGCAGTTACACTTTTCATACGCTGATGGCATATGGTTGTCAATTGAGAGTATGGATGACAAAAATATTTTTCTTTTTATAGGCTCATAGCAATGAAACCATCGGAAGCGTCAGATGGAAAATAGCAAAATTATTGAATGCCCCTGTGGACAATATTCAAATCTTTGCCAACGATAGTTTGGTATGTTAATTGCTTGTAAGTATATTTCACGTTGTAATGTCTGCTAAATCTAAGGGTTTTTTTTTTTAATTATTTCAGTTAACAGTGAATAAAGATCAGAAGCTGCTTCATCAGCTAGGTTTCTCTGATGAACAAACACTTACTGTAAAAACACTGGGAAGTGGAACTCCATCAGCAAGTTCTGCCGATTCATCATCCAGCAGCAGTAGCAATGTCTTCAGTTCATCATATGCAATGGAACAGGTAAAACAGGAAAGACTGAAATGTGGATTTCATATTTTTCATTAAATTGACATGTTACTGTCAGTCAGAGTTAGGTTTATGTCTATGGAGGTTCTCAGGCATCCAAGTCATGGCTGTCCCAAAGGTGCTTTCAAAAAGGCAACTGTACTTTCTTGATTTTTCTTGAAGAATTCTCACTTCTCATCCAAGAAGTTTCGTCAGTTCTAATTAACTGGTGGGAAATCCATGAAGAAGTGAAGCATCTTCAGGAAAAATCAAGGAAGTCCAGTTGCCTTTTTGAAAGCACCTTTGGGATAGAGTTACGTTCTAAGTGAAGAGAGAGATAGCATCTTCTATTTTTCCTTTTCTAGCATTGTTTTTTATGCAGATACCCAATTTTTATTAAACTGGTTTTCTAAAGTGAATTCTGCTCACCCGTGATTTGCTCTCTAATATTGTTCTCTCTATCCAGATACAGAGTATATTGTTTAACTGATTACATATTGTATGTTCATAATACATGCATTTGGGCAACTTAGTCGTTTGTTTCCTGGTATATCCCAAGTTGCTCATGAAGCTTAAAAATTATCTAAAAAGGTGGTGAGAGCTGCTGTTCTGAAAGTGAGATGAACTTAAAATGGAAACTCTGTTTTCCATTTGAATTAAGAACCTTGGCAAAGCCAGCAGGAACCCTTACTGTTGTTTTAATTTCTTTTTGTTTCTTTGCTTCAACAAAGTCTTACTAGAATTTCAGAAACAAATGCATCCAAATTGTTTGAAATAATGCCAACTGTAAATAACGAGGGGGGGAAATGGGAAAGCAGAAGCTGTCCCTAAAATAGTTCAAGAGAAATATTTCATCCCAGAACTCAGATAATTCAGAATTCAGAAATGTAATGTTCTGCTAATGTTTTGTCATTTTTCACTAAAAAAAACAACAAAACACCAGTATTGACGGTTGCCCTGATTTGCTTTGCAGATTCATATTAAGGGTTTGATTTGAGGAGATAGCTGGAAGTTGATGTAAAAAGTCTTATGCTAGGAAAGGAAGGAAGGATATGTCTTTAGGCCAAGTTTTAAATGTATGCAGTTGTGCTTAAAAATAAGATTGTTTAAAAGAGATGAAAGAACTCATAATATATTCTTTAATCCTCAGGAAAAATCTCTTCCTGGTGTAGTAATGGCCCTTGTATACAATGTATTTGATATGCTTTACCAGCTTGCTAACCTGGAAGAGCCGAGGTAAGTTAAGCATTGTTAATGTAGTATGGAAATGCTATGGCTGCAGAATTTAAAGATCCATATTCTTTAAAAGCATATGCGAATACACACAGACTGTCCTCCAGCAGAAACCTAAGTGCATTGTATGGGTTTTTTTTCAAATTCTTCAGGATTACTTTGAGAGTTCGGAGGCTTCTTTTATTGATTCCTACGGATCCAGCTATTCAGGAAGCTCTTGATCAATTAGACTCACTCGGACGAAAGGTACCGGTTGCCAACCAGAATGATAAAAACTAATAACAATCGAGTTTTATTTGCTTCTTACCGTTCATACTGAAATTAATGAAAAGAGAACTAGAGTGATATTAATTGACTGTAATGATTTCACTGAAATAAGTTGAAGCGATGCAATCTATTCGTTCTTATGGGATAAAATGTAAATTGTCCCTGGCTACATTAAAATGGTCTCAGGGTTTGGATAAAATGGAATATTGATTTTGTAAAGTGGGTATTCCCATTTGCTCAATGCGAGTACTTTATTTCTAGAGATTCATACTGCGTGTCTAATGTGTTTACTGCTCCTGGGACTGGAAAATAGTGCAGGGTTGGCATAGCTGTGCATTAGCTGGCAGGCCTCCCGTAAAGAATTTATTATCTTTAATGTATGTCTGTTTAAGTTACAGGCTCATTTAATATAATCTTAATACTCCTGGCTGAACTGCCTTCATAAGCCAGCAGCCAACAGGCACTGAATCCTAAATATATTCCATATACAGTTTAATCTGAGACAGGAAAGTTATTCTTAGGCACAGCTTATTTTGGGGGAGTAAAGCAGATTACAGGATAGTCTATGGGTAATTAGTTTGGGGGCTCTGAAAAAGCAATATATAAGATTGTCTTAAACTCTGAGAGTTATTTATCATAATTTCACAGAGACCATGTAAGAATAGCCTTCTACTCACTTTCTCTGTGCTTCTTTTCCCCTTAGAAAACACTGCTCTCTGAAACAAATTCTCAATCTTCAAAATCTCCTTCTCTGTCTGCAAAGCACCAACACCAGCCTAGTGCAGCTTCAATACTTGAAAGTCTTTTCAGGTCTTTTGCTCCAGGAATGTCTACCTTTAGAGTGCTTTATAATCTTGAGGTAAGAATGAAATTGTGGCTAGAGAAAGGCCAAAGTCAGAATTACAATACATGCTTTGCCTATATGTACAGTTCCCATTACCTTCAAGTACGGCTAGAACAGTTAAAAAAAAAACTATGGGGAACTGTCGGTCAATAGAAGAGGTACTGAGTTAACTGGAGCAATGCTTACTTCCTAGGAGTCTTCTTAATACTATAAAATATATTTATTCAATGCTTGCTATGATCTCCATAACAAAACTGCAATTCTCATTATTTATAGTAATTAAGGTATTTATAGTAAGTCTAGTTACTATAATGCAGTATGGGTCAATCAATTATTTTAAAAAGAAACTTTTCATAAATGAGGAGTAAACAACATAATGTAACTTAGTCCACTGCTTTGAGCTATAACTTTTTTACAATATCTTATCTCTGGCCCGGCTGCCTAAAATGAATAAGAATTTAAATCCAGCAATTTCGGAAAGGCACCAATTTGCTTATTTTATACTAGCGCCATATTTTTGGTTTAGATTATCTGTTTTACAGTCCCTTTAGAGATTCTGTAAGCAAGTAACTCTTTATTATTTACCTTGCATTGATGATACATATCACTCATCATTTTGTAATTCTGTTCTTCCATTATATTTATGTACTATAAGTATCAAAATATCTCCTTGAAATGGGTATTTGGTACTGGAAGATCAAACAGATTCCTGACAAACCTAGCAGACAACTTTATCTTCCAAAAAGTAGAGAAGGGAACTAGAGGATTAGCCATTTTTGATATAATTCTCACTAACAGAGATGAAATGATAGAAGATGTTGAAGCCATAGAAACCTTGGGAGGAAGTGATCATGCAATATTGGAATTCAACATTATGGAAGCACAAGCAATAGAACACAGTCAAACTAGAGTCTTGGACTTCAAAAGAGCTAATTTCAATAAACTTAGGGTTTGGGAAGGATTCCATGGATGAGAATCCTCCAGGGGAAAACAACTCAAGAAGCTTGGGAAATTTTGAAAAGTGAGATAATAAAAGCCCAGTCTAGCACAATATCAACAAAGAGGAAAAATAACAGCTCTCAAAAGAAACCAGCATGGCTGCATAAAGAACTCTCTGATAAATTGAAAGATAAAAAGGACAACTATAGAAAGTGGAAAGAGGGATACATAACTAAGTCAGAATATCAGCAAATAGCCAAGCCTGCAAAGATGAAGTTAGGAAAGCTAAGGCTCAAAATGAACTAAGACTTGTGACCAAAGTCAAAAATAACAAAAAAAGCTTCTTTCAACATGTAAAAAACAAGAAAAAAATGAAGGAAACGATTGGTCCATTAGTGGGTGAATGTGGCAAGAAGGTAACAAGCAACAGGGAGAAAGCAGAACTATTTAACTCATTTTTTGCATCTGTCTTTACACAAAGGGAAAAAAACAGATCAACCTATCAAAAATAGTGCCATAAAAAACAGAATAGAAACACAAGTTAAGATAGGCAAGAAAGTGGTAAGTGAGCACCTATCCAGCCTAGACGAGTTCAAATCACCAGGACCAGATGGATTACACCCCAGGGTTCTCAAGGAACTGGCAGATGTGATCTCAGAACCACTGAACTATGTTTTTCAAAGATCCTGGAGCACTGGGGAACTACCAGAGCACTGGAAAAGAGCTGATGTAGTTCCCATCTTCAAAAAAGGGAAAAAAATGGATCCAGGAAATTACAGACCTCTCAGCCTGACCTCAGTACTTGGGAAGATTCTGGAAAAGATAATCAAACAATGAATCAGTGAACACCTAGAGGCAAACAAAGTCATTACTAAAAGCCAACACGAGTTTGTCAAAAACAGATCATGCCAGACAAATCTTATTGCATTCTTTGACCAAGTGACAAAATTAGTGGACCAGAGGAATGCTGTGGATATAATTTACTTGGACTTCAGTAAGGCATTTGACAAAGTAGATCACAACCTACTACTTGATAAGATAGAAAAATGCGGGTTAGACAGCATCACCACCAGATGGATCTGTAGTTGGCTGACCGGCCGTACTCAGCGTGTGGTCCTCAATGGAACCACATCTACATGGAGGGAAGTGTGTAGTGGGGTGCCCTAGGGCTCTGTTCTGGGCCCAGGGCTCTTCAACATCTTCATCAACGATTTAAACGAGGGGATAGATGGGGAACTCATCAAATTTGCAGACAACACCAAGCTGGCAGAAATAGCCAACACTCCAGAAGACAGGCTTAGGATACAGGAGGATCTGGACAGACTTGAACACTGGGCGCTATCTAACAAAATGAAATTCAATGGTGAAAAAAGTAAGGTTCTACATTTAGGCAAGAAAAACCAAATGTACAGGTATAGTTTAGGGGGTACCTTGCTCAATAGTAGTAACTGTGAAAGGGATCTTGGAATCCTAGTGGACAATCATTTAAATATGAGCCAGCAGTGTGCTGCAGCTGCCAAAAGAGCCAACACAGTGCTAGGCTACAATAACAGGGATAGAATCAAGATCACGTGAAATATTAATACCACTTTACAATGCCTTGGTAAGGCCACACTTGGAATACTGCATCCAGTTTTGGTCACCGCGATGTAAAAAAGATGTTAAGACTCTAGAAAGAGTACAGAAAAGAGCAACAAAGATGATTAGGGGATTGGAGGCTAAAACATATAAGGAACGGTTGCTGGAATTGGGTATGTCTAGTTTAATGAAGAGAAGGACGAGCGGGGACATGATAGCAGTGTTCCAATATCTCAGGGGATGCCACAAAGAAGAGGGAGTCAAACTATTTTCCAAAGCAAGGCAGGACAAGAAGCAATGGATGGAAACTAACCAAAGAGAGAAGCAACCTAGAACTAAGGAGAAACTTCCTCACAGTTGGAACAATTAACCAGTGGAACAACCTGCTTCCAGAAGCAGTGAATGCTCCAACACTGGAAGTTTTTAAGAAGAAACTGGACAGCCATTTGTCCGAAATGGTATAGGGTTACCTGCCTGAACAGGGGTTGGACTTGATGACCTCCAAGGTCCCTTCCAACTTTATTTTTATTATTATTATTATTATTATTATTATTATTATTATTATTATTATTATTATTATTATTATTATTATTATTATTATTATTATTATTATTATTATTATTACCTTGAAAAGCTTTGTTAATGTTCATGAAGTTATATTATTACTTGTATTGATTCACTTCCCACTTACCCGTTATAACTGGTGAGTGGGAAGTGGATGAAACGGACCCTTTGAATTCAGATGATTTTTTTTTTAAAATGCATAATATTCTGAATAGTATTCAATAGTAGATATTGTTGCCTGTTGCCAAGCAGGAAATCATGCAAGCTATTTAGTGAGATAGGTTTAATTGCATGTTTCTAAAATTATGAATATTTTTAGGTACTGAGTTCCAAGCTAATGCCTACAGCAGATGATGAAATGGCAAGAAATTGTGCCAAATCATTTTGTGAAAACTTCCTTAGAGCAGGAGGCTTGAGGTTGGTTTTTAAATATTTCAATCAGCTGAAGAGTTAACTAAGGTCAAACTGTTGAATGTTTACAAGTCAGTTGAAATTAAATGTTGTAACTTAGTGTTCTGAATATTATAGGAAGATAAGTTACTTTGTCTTATTAATTTGTTTATATACAATTCTTAACTTTCTAAGTAGCTTTCAAACTTACATACATGGTAGTGATCAATTTTACTGAAAGTATTTGTTCTCTCCTTCCACTTACCGGTCTTCTGTAAATAACCTGTCTATAGAGGTACCAACCACAACTGACTCTCAGTCTTTAATTTGGTCCTAACCTCTTCATAACTGTAATGAGGCTGATTTCAGAAAACAAGTCCCATTGCAAGAAAGAAAATGAAGATGTTATTTAAAGAATTGTGTGATAAATGGGCTTTGTTTTCCCAAAAAATAGTTTTGCACAAAATAAGATTGCTGAAATGTCACAGGTATCACAGGTATCAAGGTCTCTAAGGAAACCATACTATGATTGATCATATTCCTGTATATATTTGGTTGGTTGACCAGTACTCTGGCTTGTAAAACTATATGGATTAGGCAGGGAAGCCGATGAAGATTCTCAATAATTCAGGTAGAGTTGTCTGGACGTTGAGCCATGGCAACTGGACTTCTTTTCTTCTTGGCTTGAAACATTTCACTGCTTATCCAAGTAGATTGAAGAAACTACTTGCATAAGCAGCGAAATGTTTCAAACCAAAAAGAAAAGAAGCTCAGGTGCCATGACTCAACTTTGAGACATTAGACAGAAATGTTTAACTACTGCGTCTCATACAGCAACTGAAGTGCCAGTGATTCAGCCATTGTTCAGGGAAAGGAGAGGAAGGAAGGAATATTATTTTCTGTATACTAAAAAGTAGAATTTTACATAATTGAAAATAGAACATTTGGGACAGTAACATAAAGTTAATTCTGTCGTAGTAGTATAGTGATCACGTGAATTATTTGCCAGACTTAACGTTTGTAAGAATTGGTGTAATTATTCATGCTGTTAAACAAGCAAAGTTCAGTTTTGATACTTTATTGTGAAAAGAATCTGGCTCGTCACTAGTTTTCTACATATTTTAATTTTATTATCTAAAGCAGACATGTCAAACTCGCAACATCACGTGACATCGCGCGATGTATCGGGACTGTCTTGCCATTGCCGGCAATGGGGTGGGTGCGGGTTCTGTGTGACGCATCCGGCCTGCGGGCCGGCAGTTTGACACCCTCGATCTAAAGAAAGCTAATGGTTTTTTTTTCTAGCTTGGTAGTGAATGTCATGCAGAGAGATTCCATCCCCTCAGAAGTGGACTATGAAACCAGACAAGGAGTATATTCCATCTGTTTGCAGCTAGCAAGGTATGTGCTTGATTTGCTCAGAAATATGTAATATACTGAATAGTTTGATCTTAGTGTAGTCAGTGCTATTCGTAGTTTAAATGGCACATTTTTATGTTTAGGTTTTTGCTTGTTGGGCAAACAATGCCAACTTTATTTGATGAAGATGTGACTAAACATGGAGTGGAAACACTTTCTTCCCGCCCCTTCCGTAACGTGACTCGGCAAACTACCAGGCAGATGTCAATCTGTGGAACTCCTGAGAAGTCTTCATATCGGCAACTGTCTGTTTCGGACAGGTCCTCCATTAGAGTAGAGGAGATAATTCCTGCAGCACGAGTCGCAATACAAGTAAGTAATAGCAACAGCCGTACTAAAAAAAAAGATTATATATATTTTTGTATAGAATGATAATAGACTGATCACAATAACAATCCTCTGATTTGTGGTTACTTGAAGTGTCGCCTTACCTTCGCTTAGTTATTTCAAGCAAGAAAGAAAATTCTCTTTCTTTACAGACCATGGATGCTAGTGACTTCACATCTACAGTTGCTTGTTTCATGCGACTCTCATGGGCGGCTGCGGCAGGACGCCTTGATCTGGTGGGGAGCAGCCAGCCAATAAAAGAAAGCAACACTTTGTTTCCTGTTGGGATTCGTAATCGGCTTAGTAGCTCAGGTACTGCATTAGTTTAATTTAATTGAAAAAGCAGAGAGTTTGTTCTCTGACATATTTGATTCTACCGGTAGCTAATTCAGTCCAAACATGAAAGAATTGTAAGACTGAAAAGGAAGGTGTTTTTATATCGGGGGTCCCCAACCTTGGCCACTTTATGACTTGTGGACTTCAGCTCCCAGAATTCCTCAGCCAGCATGGCTGGCTGAGGAATTCTGGGAGTTGAAGTCCACAAGTCATAAAGCGGCCAAGTTTGGGACCACTGCTTTATATGATCTCTCTTTTTAATCTATTGCAGGAAGCAATTGCAGTTCAGGAAGTGAAGGGGAACCAACCACTCTACATGCTGGAATCTGTGTGAGGCAGCATTCAGTATCCACCAAAGATGCACTGATTGCTGGAGAGGCTTTGTCTCTCTTGGTCACATGTCTGCAACTTCGTAGCCAACAACTAGGTAGGCTTGTGGGAACATGTTACATTTTTATATTGAATGTCAATTCCATTAATAATTGTGCTCCATAAAGTGGGTCCTGTTACATTGTGAAGGTTCAGTCCAACCTTCCCAAATTTTGTCGTTCACCCTTTCCTCATTTCTAATTATGCTTGCATTTTGCTGTACGAACAGGTCTTGGGAGTTGGTCAGCACATACAACATAAATGCTACATACGGGTGGTCCTTGACTTACGACTGCAATTGAGCCCCAAATTTCTGTTGCTAAGCGAGACAATTGTTAAGTGAGCTTTGTCTCATTTTACAACCTTTCTTGCCTCAGTTGTTAAGGGAATCAATGAAACTGTTAAGTTAGTAACACAGTTGTTAAGTGAATCTGGCTTCCTCATTGACTTTGCTTGTCAGAAGGTCGCAAAAGATGAACACATGAACACTGCAACCGTCGTAAATACACCTCAGTTGCCAAGCATTCAAACTTAGATCATGTGGACGCTACAGCAGTCATAAGTGTGATAAACAGTCCTAAGTCATTTTTTCAGTGCCATGGTCACTAAACAAATTGTTTTAAGTCAAGAACCGCCTCTGTTCATATTTTCTGAAATGACATGTTAGTATAAAATAGTATAACATTATGCAACATATTCCAATGAAACACCTTGAAAACATAGAATGTTTTTATCTTAGGATCTTTCTACAATCTCCCTTGTGTTGCTGATTTTATCATAGACATACTGCTTGGTTCACCAAGTGCTGAGGTGAGTAGTTTGCATTTCTGTTTCAAAGATTTTTTTTTTCAGGACATTAGCAACATAAACATCTTTTACATGGATAGATCTGTATAAGGGACAATTGGTAAATATTTGCTACTGACATAAGCTACTTTTACACGATTAATAACATGCTGCATAAAACTCCAAGGATAAGAGAGCTGCACCAGGGGGTGGGGGACAAGGGGAAACACGCATATTACATTATTTTAAAAGTTGTTATGATTCTTGATGCTTGTATACAAGCTTAAAATCAAAATTATGTTTGCTTCATGCAGAATGTAACTTGTCAGAATTTCTTGTATAGAAAAAATTATCCAGTTGGAAATGTATTTAATCTTAGTTCTATTTAACTAAGCATGGTAGTACAGCTTTTTTTTTTAAAGATATCTATTGATTTCAGGTTTGCAGACCATTAGCAAGGGAGACTGTAATGATTGGGTGATAGAACTGCCAATCAAAATACAGCACCAGTGAGCACCTCCTCCACAGTTTCATTCCAGCATAGGAAGGGAACTGGAGAAAGTCATTTGGGAGGTGGAAAGACAAATCTGAGGCAGATTTGGAGTACAAGCTTGGGAATACCTTACTATTAGAGGATAGGATAGGAAGGGAATATAGAGACTTAAAAGAATTTCCAAACAAAAAAAGGAGCTTAGTGGGGATAGTATAACAAAAAGATAGTACAGTAAAAGAAAAGAGCCATAAAAGGCATTTCAGATGAATCCATGCTAAAAAGATTAGCTTAATAGGCAGTGAGCCAAATGTGAAGGTGGTTTTCCAGATTCCTAAAGCACTTTTGTTTCAAAAGGTTTGTGACCAGATATTTGCTTTTCTTTTTTCCAGATTCGTCGTGTTGCCTGTGATCAATTATATACCCTTAGTCAGACAGATACATTGGCTCATCCTGAGGTTCAGAAACCCAACCAATTTCTCTTGAGTGTCATTCTTACAGCTCAGCTGCCCCTTTGGTCACCTACCAGCATCATGAGAGGAGTCAACCAGAGGTAAGCTGGAGACATGTTTGTTCTGTGCAGAATGTAAGAATTAAATATAAGCATTTGTCTGAAATGTATACTTAAATGAAAATAACTCAGCCAGAGAAACAAAATACCTAAGTGCTAGAAGTGAACTGAATGTGTTCAGTCTCCTATGGAAATGATGCCATCATATAGAAATTGTTGGGCCCCAATATACCCACTTCTTCATGTATGATCTTTTTAAATGGACAGTTGAAGAAAGTAGTTCGTGATAGCCTTTTGCCAAGTTAATATATTCTTAACTATGTGACTGTACAATATACACAAACAAAATACAAGCTAATAGTTCACTTTATTCACCTTGTTGTGGTGTGCTATAAAAAAGATTTCTAAATAGCTTCCATTTAGGATGGTAAAATAATTTAAATACAAAATAAGATATTAAATCTTGAAGTCAAAATAGTTTCAGCAAAAAATAACCCAGAGTCAGAAAACAGACTTTAAACTGGTTTTACAACTGCAGAACATTTGTGGGATATTAATTGGTCCATTTCAGATGGGAAGACGGATGTGATACCAAGATTGCACAATAGCTTTAGCTTTGGTAAATAACTTATGCTACAGACATTAATGACTTTCAGTATTATTAGGCATGATATCCTACAAGGTTGGTAGAACTATGCATTGGGGCTATTGATTTACTATGGTTGTTGTGTTCTTGTAAGGGTCCGCCCAGAAGGAGGTGCTGTGGAATGATTGTTGAACAGCGCTAGACCATTATCCTTTGGTTATCTCATAGGATCTGTCTTTCCTCATGCAGTTTAGTATCTACATGAAACTGCTGAGAGAAATCATTCAGAAATTTGAAGTGGAAAATTTCTACTTTTCTGGTTGTTTCAGAAAAGACCGTTCAGACTGATTTTGTGTAGAATCAATAGTGCAAGAAATGGTTTTGTTTCTGACCTGTGTTAGCCCTATTATCATTAGTTATCTTATTTGTTTTGTACATCATTTATAAATCCCATAAAGATTCATAAAATCTTTAATAGTCCGAGCAAGTCCATTAGTTCTCTACTGAGACAGAGAGCTCATGAAAAGTTAACTCATCAATAGGACATTAACTTTGAATGATTAACCATAACTGAACAATAAAGCATCACTATGTAAAGGTAGTTGTCCCTTAACAATGGTAACTCCATTGCCAAGCGACACAATTATAAAACACAATGTCACATGACCACACCAACTTACGACGGCTGTGATGGCAGTTCGAGTTGACATCATGGCCATTAAGCTCAACATCATATGATCGCCATTTGCAATGTCTTGCTTGCTTCTCCCTTGATTTTGCTTGTTGGAAACCAGAACTGAAGGTTGCAAATGGCGATCACATGACCTCCGGGCCATGTGGAATTGTGATCATATGACTGTGGGGATGCTGTTGATGGCCACAATTACAATGACCAGTTCTAAGCCTCATATCCATGGTTTAGTACGGAAGAAATTAAACATGGGAATGCTATTATGCCCACCCACCCCCATTGAGGTCATGGAGAAAAGATGGGGTTGTATGGTGGATGAGTGGGTTTCAGACCTTTGACTGTTCAGTATCCTCCTCTACTGTTGAAAGATAAAATTTAACATTTCCTATGTGGGACTGCTACAATATGGTCACTAATTTAGTATTTTTCATCATAGTCATAGTGTGATGAATGAATTTATTGAAAATCCCAGCACAGTTTATTCCCAAGGCAATCCTTTTGAGAGCCTTCAGTGCCAAGTCTGAGATTGCTTAATTACTTCAAGAGGGAGGTGATAAGTTGTAGTAAAACACAGCAGCATCTCCAGTTGTCCTAAACTGGAAGGTTGCTTTGTAAGCCAATCTCCACGTTTTAGTCTTTTTAAAATTATGGTTACATTTTCAGTTTAAAAGCGCCATTCTGTTGAACATGCAGGAGGTTCAATGCTTTAAAAAGCATTAAAACAAGTAGCAAATCCTAGATTTGTTTTTAATGAAGATTTTAAGCTATTGTATTTTTGTAAACACGATATAGGCCAATTTTCCCAATTACAAAAAAATGAAGAAAAATGCAACTTTATTTTTTAATATAAAATGTGCATGTCTGGATCCGTTAGCTCCATCAAAGTAAAAAAGTTTTATGAGAAAACAATATATGTAAAAGTGAAGATTTCTGCAAATTGTCATATGCTTATAAGAATTTTAATAGTAATTGCTTGATTTCATTTTTAGACACTTGTCCCAATGTACGGAATACTTTGATCTTAGATGCCAATTATTGGACGATCTTACATGTAAGTAGTAGAAACTAAAACTGCTTTAAATTGCAAAAGAAAATGTTCTTTATTCCAAAAGATAGGATTCTAAGTATATCACAACCAAAAACATTTATTCTAAAAAAGCAACTGAAATAATGTTATTCTTACAATTTTTCTTTTTGAACTTTGTTCTAAACACTGTCATTTAGTTCAAAATCCACAGTTTAGATTTATCCTGAACAAGCAGAAGAATAGCAGTATTTGCTAATCCCACTTTTAAGGCTAAGGAAATAAACTTTTCTATCTTGTTGACAGAAATAACATCTTTATAGAGCTTTAATAAGTAGGCAGAATAATTCTGCGATTTTTAAAACTAACTATACATAAGCTACAGTATATAAAACTATATATAGTTATATAAACTACACGAGTAAATGGAAACATTATACCTTTTCAGTAACTATTTCGGAAATGATTTTTAAGATGTGAAATTATTGTAATAATGTAAATTGTCATATTTGATTTTGGTAACAGAACCACGTTTGAAGTTATATATTTGCAGCTTGTACTATCTAAAGATCTCAAGCTTGTCATTTTTAAGGAGAAGGAACTAGGTTAATTTTTAAATTAAATGCTTGCTTTATGTCACATGTTTTAAATTAGCATTAGTGTTGATTTTGATTATGTTTCTCTTTGGACTATTTGAATATAGTGGTATGCTTAATATTTTCCTTCTGCCCTTCCTTCGTTTGGTTATTATCACATAGCTTCAGAAATGGAACAGCTAAAGATAAGTCCAGCTGTCATGTTGGAGGATGAAATCACTTGGTTGGATAATTTTGAACCTACTCGTGCAGCTGAGTGTGAAACCAGTGAAGCTGACAATGTGTTATTGGCAGGACATTTAAGACTTATTAAGACTCTTCTCTCACTTTGTGGGGCAGAAAAGGAAATGCTAGGTAACTATTACTTTCCACAACTCATGATTTAATTGCATTATAATTTGCAATTATTTACTCTTTTGCAAAGTTGAATGTAAATACAACTTTAGTTAAAAATTATGACATTCTACTACTATCAGTACTATCTTTCTCTTTTGGAACATATTATTATTATTATTATTATTATTATTATTATTATTATTATTATTATTATTATTATTATTATTATTATTATTATTATTATTAAAGTTGGAAGGGACCTTGGAGGTCATCTACTCCAATCCCCTGCTCAGGCAGGAAACCCTATATCATTTCAGACAAATGGCTGTCCAGTCTCTTCTTAAAAATTTCCAGTGTTGGAGCATTCACCGCTTCTGGAGGCAGGTTGTTCCACGGGTTAATTGTTCTAACTGTCAGGAAGTTTCTCCTTAGTTCTAGGTTGCTTCTCTCTTTGATTATGTGGAAGCTTGCAAGTAAATCTTTATTTACCAAACCAGAGAGTGCTGCTGTATGGGAATTTTACTTTTTCAGCACGGTGTGTAAAATGATACGATCAACACAGCGCTTTAAATCAAATATAAACAAGAAATTTATTTCTGTTCAGTTATTTCTGTGTTTTTGTCTGTGTGTATGTATGTATGTGTGTATGTATGTATGTATGTATATGTACATATACATATACGAGAAATACATGTTCTCTGATCACCTGTGTATCTAGCAACATACCATTCTGTTCTGTAAATGCTTTCTGCAAGCATGTTAATTCTTAACTGTAATAATAGTTTTGGTTTTTTACATAGGTTCATCTTTGATCAAACCATTGTTAGATGACTTCCTCTTCCGAGCATCCAGGATTATCCTGAACAGTCATTCTCCAGTTGGCAGCATTGCTGCTACTCAGCAAGATTTTCACCCAAAGTAAAGCATATATTAGTGTATTGGTGATAGTAAAGAATAGTGTACAGGGAGTAGAGGGGGTATTATGTTACTTGATTGATCAGATCTGTCCAAGTGTAAATCAAAGTGGGGCTTTTTCATTTTTAAATATCTGCATTTCCTATCATTCACAAGTAACTAAAATAAATATTTATATTTATATGTTACTTATATGTAAGGGTGTAGGTCTATACACATGCTGTATATAGTATGTTTTATAGTATGTATATAGTATGTTTACACTTTGAGAGGAAGCAACTAAATTTCATTTTTAATGTGTGCCATTGTGCCCACAGGAAAAAATGACAATAAAGGTTATCTAATCTAATACAAATGTCCCCAAGAAAGTTACTAAGGAGCTTCATGGTATCATTATAAATCAATCCTGGGTCATTTATTGTTATATACTTACCTTAATAAATACCTTTGCTGAATGAAGTTAAGCTGATTGTCAGAAGAGAGGACTCTTTTAGCTGTGATAGCCTGCTTGTGCCTCTGCTACACTTTGGGAACCAAGCAACAATATTCTACATTTTATGTAGAGGGAATGTGGAATGACTGTTGTAATGCATTTAGTGTCCTATTACTCATATAGATTGATGTTAGATTTAATTGTGCTTTTACTTTTTTAATTCTCTTCTTAGAATGTAATCCACCTAAAATATTTAGGATTGAATAAATTAGTAGTATGCTAAATAAGTCGTATTTTCTGGATGTGTAGAGAAATAACCTTTAAAGATTTGTTTTATTCCACATTCTCAATTTTAAGTCACTTCATTTATCCAAATCTATTGCTATTTCTAAATAGTAATTTATTTTACTTCAATTTAATGATTTGCAATCATCATGTATATTTCTAGATTTCTCACAGTATAAAATACAGCTTCCAGAGCACCCTGGAAACTCTTCATAGGGTACTGTTTTTGACATCTTGATAATTTCCATCAAGTTTGACTTAGACAAATCACTCAAGCAGTTCATACTGAAAAAGACCAAGTCATCAATTAATGTTATTAATATTGGTATGGAATTCAATTCCTCCACATTTCTGAGATCAAATGTGCAGAATCAGATGGTAACTGTAGCCCAAGACCCAATAAAGATTGTCCACCTTTAATTACATCCTCCACCAGATATTACTTTATAAAATGGAATCAAAAACAACTATCTCTTTTGTCTGCATGTACAGTATAATAGCTTTAACTCATCCAGGAAATTAAACAGATGATTTTAGAATTGCTTTGCACAGAAAGGCACTAAACCTCAATTGATTCTTTTTGGAAGCAGATTACTATATTTTACAAGTATTAACAGCTGAATATTGGCTATGAATAATCGAGTCCTTTGTTTTAGATGCAGCACAGTGAATAGTCGCTTAGCAGCATATGAAGTTCTAGTAATGTTGGCTGATAGTTCACCCTCAAATCTTCAGCTTATTACAAAAGAATTGCTTTCTATGCATCACCAGCTTGATCCAGCTCTTTCCAAGGAATTTGATGTAAGTAAACAGGCTTTTTCTTTAGTGCAAATAGTAATACTACTCAGAGGTTTACCCAAAATATATATTGAGCAAAATCAATATGGGTAAGTTCCATACTTAAAGCAAATATTTCAATCAGCAACATTAGTTCTTCGTAAATTACATCTATTTTTCTATGTTACAATTTTTTCTTCTTTATCCTCAGTATCTCCCACCTGTAGATGGTCGATCTATTTATGGATTTGTGGGGCTAAAGAACGGTGGAGCTACCTGTTATATGAATGCAGTTTTCCAACAACTGTATATGCAGCCAGGTCTACCTGAGGTAATATTTATTTATAGTCTTGTGAAAAATGCTTTTAGCAATCCTGTTGATTATATACATAGAAGTTTCTCGGGAAGGAAGGAGAGTTGACATATAAATCTATGATGATGATAAGCAGCAACTTGAAATTGACCCATATTAACAACTAGTTAACAGACTAGGTCTGCCCTGGGATAGTCCAATGTGAATCAGTGCTGAGGTAAGGAGTAAGACTCAGAAAAATTAAATTTGATTCTCCAATTGTTCAATATGACTACAGTGCAAGCAGTATCATTTTATTTTATTTTGTGTAGAATGAATTTGACAAGGAAGCTATGCAGAGTTGAAATAAGAATCAGAGAGTTTTTAAGTATACTCTTTTAAACATTTCATTTTTAAATGCCTGTTGGGATTTAGTGGTCTCCTATGGAGAAGAATAAATGCCAAATTGGGAGAAATTTATGCAAAAATATGGGGCATTCATAAGGAATGATGATGTCCCTTCCTGAGCTGATTGTCAAGGATTGCAGTAAAGGTGTGAGGCATGGATTTAGTTTTTCATTAAAAAAAACCACTAATCCAAGATAGCTGATGATGTACCTCTTAACAGATTATGACATAACTGCTTAGGATGAGAAACAGATGACAATGAGGCAGAGCCATGTTACTTAGAACAAAGGTTCTTTCTGTCACCGAAATGTTAATGTGAATGCTAACTAATGATTTTCTGATAACAATAAGAGCAAAGCTAATGGTTATCAGCGGATCCAAAGGTTTGTACCGGAATATTATTATTAGTCGCTTTAGTGGCACAAATGAATACAAATAAATATTGTTGCACTTTTAATAAACACTATTAAAAATTGTTTCTAAAGGCATTGCTTTCAATTGATGATAACATGGACAATCCTGATGACAATGTATTCTATCAAGTTCAGTCCCTCTTTGGTTATTTAATGGAAAGCAAGCTGCAATATTACATACCGGAAAACTTCTGGAAGGTATTACTTACTGTTTTTTAAGCATGACTCCTTTTTTTTCTTCTTTCTTTTTTCATCATGATTTAAAATGATAATTTAGATCACAACATTTTGAAAAAAGGATTCCCATTTAATTTTAGTTAGCCCTACTCATAGTCTCTCAGTGATATAGAATCCTAAAGTTTGTTTGTTTGTTTGTTTAAATTTATTAGCCTTCCAGTTGTAATGGACTCAAATAGCATTCGTCTCTTTAGTAATATTCTCAGGAAGAGAATCCAAAGTAGTATTCTCAAGAGAAGGTATATTTTCTTATAAAAAGAGTTGGGTAAAGATAAGAAGGCACCTTTTTCTTCCTGTTTAGATTGGCTTACTTACTTAGTGCATTCTAGTGACATTTATAGATCTTGAAGCATTTAACTGAGTGGATTGCATCTGTATTTTATAGATCTTTAAAATGTGGAATAAGGAGCTTTATGTACGTGAACAGCAAGATGCTTATGAATTCTTCACCAGCCTTATAGATCAAATGGATGAATACCTTAAGGTGAATTACACTTTTGGTACATTGGTATAGTAATTCAGTTCATTGTTTCAACTGATGCACAGTTAATCTGCTATTGGCATTTCAATCTCTTACAGAAAATAGGAAGAGACCAGATCTTTAAAAACACCTTTCAGGGCATATATTCTGATCAGAAAATCTGTAAGGATTGTCCTCACAGGTAAGTGAAGATCAGGTGTCGTAAGATAAAGTAGATGTCCCTCTCGGCATACTGAAAGTGAAATCTATAGGTGAAGAAAGAGATCCACTTTTGTAAGCCTTTGCATGGCAAACACAAAAATCACTATTTTTAGCACTTTACCATTGGTATCAAATGAAAGCTTTGTATACACCAATCCAAAACTGTTACATTTCTGGACTTTCTAGAATTAAGATAGAGGTGGGGGAGGATATGTATACAGATCCTGGATCTGCATACTTCCTGTCTAGGTATGTTAACATGGGAAAAGGAAAAACTAGAGAAGAAAAGAAAAAGCATGCCATATACAAGTGGTACAATTCAGTGGTTTATTATACTTTTAATAAATGATAAAGGTGGTTACTGAAATAGACAAAATCTTACAGCTTTGTTGACATATAGGGTACATTTGTGAATTCTTAGTTTTTGTTTAAAAATCTTAATATTTTATTCTTTTTCTTAATGTTGTAGGTATGAACGAGAGGAAGCCTTTATGGCTCTCAACTTAGGGGTCACTTCATGTCAAAGTCTAGAAATTTCACTGGATCAGTTTGTTAGAGGAGAGATCCTGGAAGGAAGTAATGCATACTACTGTGAGAAATGTAAAGAAAAGGTAATTCTTCTACTTTATCTAAGAGTTAAAGTACTTCGATTTTTCTATGGGAAGAGATCCCTCTGGATTCATTAGTGTTCTGAGAAATTTTGAGTCTATTCCTAGCTTTATATGCTTCATATGTGCTTGTTTTTTTAATTAAATCTTTATTCAACCTTTCTTCAGGGTTAAGATAATATGTATAGAAATCCCTTATTTTTTTTCCTTACAATTATCTTGAATAATTGTGAATCCTCAAGATTTTCCTCTGATTTTCAAGCTGAAAAAGAATATGAAACGTTGTCATAAGACCATTTACAAGCTATAGCTTGTGTCCTTTCTTTGCAATCCTATATTTATGTATGTTCTAGTTGTTGGAAATTTGTAGAAATCAACACTTTTAACTTTGTTGCCATGATTACTAAAAATCTTCAATTTTTCATTTCATTTTTATATTTGGGAATTAATTTTGGTTTCCTACCAAATGAAAATAATTGTTTTATGTATACATTTTCAGTAGACATATTAAAGACTTAAAGTGAATTTAAGAACTGTTTCTTTAAAAATGCTGCAAAGGGAAAAAGAAATGCAAGGAAATTAGCACACTGAATATTTTTGTAGTTTGGTACCCTTTAAAAAAAAACCTACTAAAAATGTAATACTTTATCCTGCAATATGCAACTTGGAGAATCATGTAGTCTCAGAGCCACTTACTGGTTCTCTGAAAGTTCCTGTTTTTCTTGTAAAATACTAATTTTATATTTTCATGTGATATTTTCCGTGCCATGAAACTTATCCTAAATCTGTATTTATAAAGAGCTTGTTGAAATACTTTTTGATTACTTTGTACAGAAAATGATGTAAAATTGTTAGCATTGTCAAAAAGAACAGTATAAACAACACTGTTGAAAAGGATAGCTTGCTGAATTTGCTTCAAGGTAAAAAGGAACTGAAAATAGTTTCTCTAGTAGTGTCACTAGATTGATAATGCTATCAGAATGAGCTATAATATTTGTGAAACAAATTTAAAATTTACTCCTGGTCTATAGGAGTAAAGTAACAAAGTTCCTATAGATAAGCAGTAGACCAAAATAAGTATTTAGCTGAAACTTTGGTTTATTTTTTAAGAGAACCACTGTGAAACGGACCTGCATTAAAGCTCTACCCAGTGTATTAGTGATACACCTCATGAGATTTGGATTTGATTGGGAAAGTGGACGTTCCATAAAATACGATGAACAGATCAAGGTAAGCTTATCTTGTTTACATTTGTCTACCTTTTTAAGGACACAGTTTTTGTTTTTATGATCGCTATACATGTAGCCTGTCTATATTAAAATAGGTGCATGGACTAGTAAAGTTAAAGGTAAAAAATACTTCTACCTAAAGATATATGGTGATGACGATGAGGATAAAAAATGTAATAACTTTTTTTCTATAGATATAACATAATTCATTATGGCTTTTTTTTAAAGTTAAAATTTTTAGTTTTCCTCAAAGGATCTTTTTGAAAAAACTAGGCAGAGTTCGGGAGAAACTGAAAATGCTATGATTTTACCCAACCAATAAAGTAATTTATTTTATTCTATCTTCATCTTGGTTTTATAAATTTATAAAAATCTAGGTTTTATACATTTTGTATAATTGAAGAAAATTTATTAACATGCAACGTACTTTAAGTTTAATCTGTTTCATTTTAAACAGTTCCCTTGGATGCTGAATATGGAACCCTATACAGTTTCAGGAATGGCTCGCCAAGATTCTTCTTCAGAAGTTGGTGACAATGGACGAAATCTAGATCAGGGATGCAAAGGGTCTCCACAGAAGAAAGTGGCTCCTTCAGAAAACTATGAACTAGTTGGCGTAATTGTGCACAGCGGTCAAGCCCATGCAGGCCACTACTATTCTTTTATAAAAGATAGGAGGTAATTGGAAATAACTGTATTCTCATGCGGAGTGGTCAGTTGGTGATTTGCTAGATTAAAAGCTAGATTATCATTCAGGTGTTGAATTATAAATCTTGATGGCAAACATTTTTATGTAGCACACCAAGCTTTATAAACTTACATCCTCACTGAAGTAATACCACCAGATTGGATTAATCTTTTCCTTTTACAGATTGCTCCATAAACTGATTGCCTAGGACTGTTTGTGAAGCTATAGATGTAAAAGCAGATATGAAATACAGTGTATGTTGGTAAACTAGAATATTTGTATGTTGATATGTTTTGCAAACTTGGCTTAACAGAAGACAGGAAGAATATATATAACACTCTTTTTCAGAGTGCCATTGTTATGTATGCGAACTAACATAGATATAGAAAAGGGTTATTGACAGACTCGGAGAAATCCCTAGATTTCCAGAAACACCAGAAATGCAACAAATAATAAAAGTAATCTTCAAAATTTCCAAAGACTTAATAAATCTGATGAATGTTGATTGGGGATGAAGGAGTGAAAAGTAAAAAAAAATAGCATTTAAGATATAAGTTGTGCTAAAGTTTTATTTTAAGGCATCACCTGAAACATTTAAAACACCATGTTCAAAAATGAATGTAATCTGGGGTGGGTTTTTTTTCTGTAACCACAGGGGAAGTGCGAAAGGAAAATGGTATAAATTTAATGACACTGTTGTTGAAGAATTTGAACTTAATGATGAAACTTTGGAGTATGAATGTTTTGGAGGAGAGTACAGACCAAAGGTTTATGATCAATGTAAGTATAAGCCTACATTTTAATTATCTCTTACAAATGTTTTTAGCATATTTTAATCTACTTGTTAGGAGCAGTCATTTGAAAAAAACTTTAATCAAATCTTGAAACTCACAAATTTGACTTACATATACTTTAATTAGGCTACTAATTCATTTTATGGAATAGATAACATAAAAATAAGCACTAATAAATAACAGATGGTTCTGAGTTAAAAATGGAATAAACTATATAGCCAGCTGAGCAATGTAAAATTACTTGCCTTGGTGTTTCCCCCTAGAAATCTTAGTAAGTAAGTTAATAGCATTGGTTGTGCCAAGATGAATAGGACTTCAGGAATAAACTGGGGAAGACAAATTTCTGTTTAGTCCCTTCCAGATGAGACACACAACTATTCGAGTGCTTTTACTACAGCCGCTTTAATTACTATCATAAACTACTTTATGAAAATGTACTTAAGGTGTACTCTTACTATTGGAATCAGGTTTCCCAATCAGAATATTTCCGTCCTTCACTCCTTCCTTCCTTCCTTCTTCAGCAAACCCATATCCTGATGTTCGCCGTCGCTACTGGAATGCCTACATGCTCTTCTATCAACGAGTCTCTGAACAGAACTCCCCAGTCTTGCCAAAGAAAAGTCGAGTCAGTGTTGTGCGTCAAGAAGCTGAGGATCTCTCCTTGTAAGCTTTCTTACCTTTAAAATCCAGCATTTGATTCGTGTACAAAATTTCAGTACTTCTGACTTTCCAAAATTAAGGTTATCCTGTCCATAGAGAACAAAACCTATTTAGAAGAGTATCCTTGAGCCTGTGTCTGACTATACATAATCCCAGGACAAGTTGCAACATGTTCAGAGCTTGGGAAAAGCCAAGAGAAGTTTGAAAAGAAAAATGTTTCTATATAGCTTTTTTTTTTTTCTTCCTAGTGAGGAAGCAAGCAAGTTTTGAGTGCTATCTAAAACCCATAGGTCTAGCCATCAGAATCCTCGGCCAATCACAGCATTATTTTAATTTGACAGATGGCTTCCTGCCAGCTAGTGATTCCCAGCATGATACTTAATTATATTAACAGTTTTTGCCACAGCTGTAAATGTGGTTGACCACATTAGTGAATCTGTGTTTTTATCCATTGCTTTAGATTTCTATCCTTTTAAAATATGTATTTCTTGTCCTATACCAGGGGTAGGCAACCTTGGCCCTTTTATGACTCGTGGACTTCAACTCCCAGAATTCCTGAGACAGGCACGCTGGCTGAGGAATTCTGGGAGTTGAAGTCCACAAGTCATAAAAGGGCCAAGGTTGCCTACCCCCTATCCTATACTAACCTCAAATAAATCCCCAGTTTTATTTATGGAGAAATAGACCTCACACATTCATTTAAGAAATTTGCGAAGAGGTGATTGTTGTATAATAGATAAGTATTTAATACATGAATAATGACAGAATTGAGTTCATATTTACCTATACAAGCCGTGCAATCAAATGTACAATGCAGGATGTACACTAAACTTGAAGTATAGAAACTGATGGACAATTATGTTTGTAATATCATTTTCTTCAGGTCTGCCCCATCTTCTCCAGATATTTCACCACAATCGTCTCCACGTCCCCACAGACCTAGTAGTGATCGTCTGTCCATTTTGACCAAATTGGTTAAAAAGGGAGAAAAGAAAGGCTTATTTGTGGAGAAGATTCCAGTTCGAATATATCAGGTAAGCCATTATTACAGTAGATGGATACATTGTTAAAAAGTTAGATTTTCATGGTCATTTGCTGAAGTATAAATATATAATTAGTATTCCTTTATATAGTAGTTTCAGTTCTGAAACAACCAACAAATAATAGAAATTTACATTTTGCTAATTATCAAAAATTGACTTTGCTTGTATCAACTAATTTAAAGAACATACTTTAAGTTGCTGTTTGAAGAATCCATGCCTATTTATAAATGATATTGCTACAGTTCTTTAGCAGTCCCAAGCATTTACCATTCCAAGCATTTGATAAAACAAGAATCTTGTGTTAATGAGAAAGAAAAAGAAGGCAAGGAGAATGACCCATAAAGAGTATCTGAAGTAAAATTGAAAGAATAATTAAGATCAGAAACTTTATTTAGTCTAAACAAAATCTTGTTTATGCCAACACCATTTATGATACCTCTCCATAACTTTCTGCCCTTGGAAAACATGCAGTGAAACCAAAGAACTACATGCAGGAAAGTGAAGATCTAGTTTAATTAGGAATGAAAGATTAAAATATATTTCAGAAGTATGAACACATAGAACAAAAGTTAGTGTGAGTGCATATGATAAAAGGAGGAAGACATAGATTCATTTATTGTTCCTTTTTAGCACCTTGCATAACCCAGCTTATTGTGAAAGGAAATGGTATGCTTTTTAGGCATGTATGAAGCAGAATAAAATAAGAAAGTGGTTTTTTTTTATTGAGATTTCTAATATATGTATATATAGCTTCTGAATACCCTGTACTCCCTTATATTGATGATGATGATGATGATGATGATGATGATAATAATAATAATAATAATTAATAATAATAATAATAATAATAATAATAATAATAATAATAATAATAATAATAAAGTTGGAAGGGACCTTGGAGGTCATCTAGTCCAACCCCCTGCTCAGGCAGGAAACCCTAAATCATTTCAGACAAATGGCTGTCCAGCCTCTTCTTAAAAACTTCCAGTGTTGGAGCATTCACAGTTTCTGGAGGCAGGTTGTTCCACTGATTAATTGTTCTCACTGTCAGGAAGTTTCTCCTTAGTTCTAGGTTGCTTCTCTCTTAGTTTCCATCCATTGCTTCTTGTCCTGTCTTCAGGCGCTTTGGAGAATAGCTTGACTCCCTCTTCTTTGTGGCAGCCCCTGAGATATTGGAACACTGCTATCATGTCCCCCCTCGTCCTTCTCTTCGCTAAACTAGACATACCCAATTCCAGCAGCCTTTCCTTATATGCTTTAGCCTCCAGTCCCCTAACCATCTTTGTTGGTATCATATTTTTATAGTATCATATTTTAAACATTTCCTTGATACTGATTATTACAAGTACATATTGTTTTTCAGATGGTGAGAGATGAAAACCTGAAATTTATGAAGAACAGGGATGTCTACTGCAGTGACTATTTTAGTTTTGTTCTGTCACTAGCTTCGTTAAATGCCGTGAGTAGTGAATTTAATATTTCAGTTATTAATTCCATGCAACATCGGATATACTACCCTGTGAACTCCCAAAAGGTGGACAGGGCTAGCCTCTAGAATTATCTTAGCATAATCAAGGCTCCTTCAAAGGTCTGGAGATCTATGTTCACCAGATCTCATAAGTTATCAATATTTTGGACGGGTTGTGCCAACAGGCTTGAAAGAGGTCCTGCATGGATCAAGTTATTCTGGATAATTATTGTCCAATTTTAAATATTTCTTTTTGTAGGGATGTTTGGTGAGAGAATGGAGGGGATCAACTGTTGAGCATGTTAAAGAAATTGATTTATCTAGATATTTATTTCATCTGGATTCAGGTGTGGCCACATGACAGAAACAATACTATTTAATATCATATTTTTCTGAACCAGTGCGAGAATTAGAGAGTGGAAGTATTGTTTAGTAGTGAATAGTTTCAGTCACTGGTTATGGGGAGAAAGAGGTTGGCTTGGAGGTCATTTATTTCCCTGAGTGGTAGCTTGAGAGAAACTTTTTCATTTTACAGTTTCTTGTTAAAACTGGCGTTTACAACTTATAGTTCTAAGAATTGTGTTTAAGAAGTCTAACTGAAATGCAGTCTTATATAACCTAATGTCTCTCTGTCTAGACAAAGTTGAAACATACCCATTATCCGTCTATGGCAAGAGTGAGTTTACAACTAGCAGTCCAATTTCTGTTCCAAACTTATCTGCGAACAAAGAAGAAACTCAGGTGACCTTTTATTTAAAATTTCTTTTTCTGAAGAATACACATATACTCATTCTTTTCTGGTCATACCAATGTTCCTCTGTTTGCTTCCTTTAAGGACTGATACAGAAGAATGGATTGCAACTATTGATGCTTTAGTTTCTAAAAGTTTTGATGCTTGTCAGTGGTTAGTTGAATATTTAGTTGAAGCTGAAGGACGAGAACTTATTAAGTAAGTCAATCTGTTTGATAAGATTCCATGACATCATATCCTTCTTTCCAGTTCACAAGTCTTCCCCTGCTTATATAGCTCTTATTTATATAGCTATGAAAAAAATACCCTTTACTATGTGCAGAGATATCAGCAAGCCTGTGGTTTGTAGATACCCCAAGAGGCAATATCTTATCTAGTCTCTCTAATCTCAAAGGCATGTGAATATTAGGTTTCCCAGTAGGAAAAAAAAAGCAATGATGATTTAAATTAGAGCATGAAAGAATTCACTTCTCAATGATGGGGTATTTTTCAGAACGTTTCTGCTGGAATGCAGTGTAAGAGAAGTGAGAGTTGCTGTAGCCACAATCCTTGAAAAAACCTTAGACAGTGCCTTGTTTCATCAAGAAAAGGTCAGTAATGTACAGATAACACACTGCTCTATTACTCATTGCATATTATTGATTTCTATCATTTGTTCACCTGAAATCAGTTAACAAGAATCATATAATTTCTAATTGCTATGAATGTAATGTTTAAACTCAGTAGATATTTTTTTTTATGAAAACACCTGTTATGATTCTTTTAAAAACTTGTTTCACGTCTTTCAGGTTGCAGGGTTATAATAGAGAATGGTCAAGGTTTAGTCAGGCTCCAGAGGCCAGAGAATGAGGCTTTTTACATTTATTTGCTTACCGAGCACAATTTAAGGTCCTGAAATTAATCCTAAAAGTGTTAGCTGGTTTATGCCCTGGCTAACTGAAAGATTATTCTCTCTCTTCAAGCAGCAACATCTGCAAGAGGGACCCTTCTGAGAATGTCCCAACCACCAAACCTGCTTATTTGACAAGCTGGAAAATGTTTGCCCTTCATTACTGGATGTTCTTTTTTTTTCTTTTTTTTTTTTCGGGGCTCTTAATATCAATTTTAGTATTAAATTTATATTTTTTGGATTTTAAAAAAATATAAAGGTATAAAATATGAAACTTGTTGTGACCAAATTATGTCAAGTTTGTTTAGACCAGGGGTAGGCAGTCTTGGCTCTTGTATGACTCGTGGACTTCAACTCCCAGAATTCCTGAGCCAGCCATGCTGAGGAGAAAGGGAGAGGTTTCCATGCTGAGCCATGCTGGCTCAGGAATTCTGGGAGTTGAAGTCCACGAGTCATAAAAGAGCCAAGGTTGTCTACCCCTGGTTTAGACTTTCTACTGAGTGATTTATTTAACTACTCCATCATTGCTCAGAACCGAGGTTATTCTACACTTTCTGTATATTGAAACCTACATATGACCAGTCTTTTTGTTCTGATGCTGTCTGATTTCTAAGACTCTAAGAAAGTGTCAGCTTTTGTTGCAAACTTTGGGGGAATTTTTTTTTTTTTTTTTTTGCTTTCAGGTGTTTTTTTATATTCATTGCAAACCTGAATTATTAAATTACTAAACTGATAATTTCAAATAAAGCCCTTCTTAACTTCTGCTTTTTTGACAGCTAAAAAGCTTGCATCAGCTAATAGAAGTGTTGCTGAGTCTATTGGACAAAGATGTCCCTGAGAACTGTAAAAATTGTGCCCAGTATTTCTTCTTGTTCAACAATTTTGTACAAAAGGTAAAGGAAAAAAACTATTCTACTTCTCAGATTGTTGTAATTAGATGAAAGAATGAAGCTACTTTACAAAAAGTTTGCAGTATCACATAGAAGAAAAAAAAGCTGTCCTTTGCCAAGTGGAAGTTCTCTATCGTATACAAAGTTTCTACTTGCCTACCCCTGGCCTATACCATAAGAAAAGTAAACTGAAGTTCAAAGTTCTCCGAGGGAAGGTTTTTGAGAAAGTGCCAGAAGGCTCCGGGAGAAGCGGATTATCACAAATGAAGGCGAATGTACGTGTCCCAGGATAATGTTACAGGATCCAATCTGGGTCAGTCACCAGGACCAAAGGTTTTTAGTCTTCCGAGCTTTCAGACTCATGCTGAAGCCCATCCTCAGAGAACCTCTCTCTAGCGGAGTGTGTGCTTTGGGCTATTCAGTGTGTGCTATTTATATGGTGCCTGTTGTGTGTGGCTTTTTAGATGTTGATTGGGGTGTTTATTTATTTTATTTATTTATTTATTATTCGAATTTATATCCCGCCCTTCTCCTCGCGGACTCAGGGCGGCTGACAATCGATTAAAAACACCAATAACAATTACAAAATTAAAATTAATTAAAATGAAATATTTAAATATTGTCTGATTAAAATATGATTAAAACCCCTCTAAAAACCCCTCTTAAAAATTGCCCTAGGCCAGTCCCNAAAAAAAAGCTGTCCTTTGCCAAGTGGAAGTTCTCTATCGTATACAAAGTTTCTACTTGCCTATACCAGGGGTAGGCAACCTTGGCTCTTTTATGACTCATGGACTTCAACTCCCAGAATTTCTGAGCCAGCACAGCTGGGAGTTGAAGTCCATGAGTCATAAAAGAGCCAAGGTTGCCTACCCCTGGCCTATACCATAAGAAAAGTAAACTGAAGTTCAAAGTTCTCCGAGGGAAGGTTTTTGAGAAAGTGCCAGAAGGCTCCGGGAGAAGCGGATTATCACAAATGAAGGTGAATGTATGTGTCCCAGGATAATGTTACAGGATCCAATCTGGGTCAGTCACCAGGACCAAAGGTTTTTAGTCTTCCGAGCTTTCAGACTCATGCTGAAGCCCATCCTCAGAGAACCTCTCTCTAGCGGAGTGTGTGCTTTGGGCTATTCAGTGTGTGCTATTTATACGGTGCCTGTTGTGTGTGGCTTTTTAGATGTTGATTGGGGTGTTGACGGCTGGCTATTAAGCCATTGGCTGTGCTGCACTACTATTGACTGAGGAGGGGCCGTTTCCCAAGCTTTTAAGTTCCTTGAGGATAGGGGCTCCAGCAGGAGTCCGAAAGCTCAGAAGACTAAACCTCTGGTCCCGGGGACTGACCCAGATTGGATCCTGGAGAAGTGGATTATCTGAGCCTTTTCAGTCAGGATTCAGGCCTAGATATGGTACTGAGACAACATTGGCTGTGCTTGTGGATGACTTCTGATGGGATGGGGTAGAGCATCCATCCTGGCCCTCCTTGATCTTTCTGAGGCTTTCTGTACCATCAATCATGATATTATTTTGGGATGGCTCAGGGGGTTGGAGTGGGAGATATCATGTTACAATGGTTCTCCTCCTTTCTCCAGGACCAGTTCCAGTTGATATTGGAAAGGAAGCAGATTTCTTTTTGAGCCTAAGAATTTAAAGTAGTCTGAAGACGTACAGGCATTAACCTCATCTTGTACTGTTGATGCTGTTTCAGATGCCACCCTTTGCTATTCTTTGCACAGTAGTTCACAGAACAGTATAATAAGTAGATTTTAGTTATAGGTGCTATATTATAATTACCTCTTAATTGTTATGTTACAGTTCTTGCAGATCAATCACAATGATCTCTTATTATTGAGCTAATAATGGGGGGGGGGAACCCAAAGGAAAAATTCCCAGGTAGTTTGGTGTCACAGAACCATTCAAAGTCTGGAGATCAACATAGTTAAATGTAATGGAATAAATTTTAAGAAGCATTTCACAGTAGATGCTTGATCAATAATAAATAATGTTTAGCCTTTTTGTGCAGTCTCTCCATGCTTTCTAGAATATAACCCTCTTTTTCCTGTCTTTTACAGCAGGGTATAAGAGCCTGTGATCTCCTCCTCAGGCATAGTGCCTTGAGTCATATGATCCGTTTCCTTCTTGGTCCCAACAGGCAGAATAACCAGGTATGAATGTAGAGATAACACTTCAGTCTCTGAGAGAGTGTGTGGTTTAGTCTAGTTCATAAGCTTATTAGTAAATCTAATTGTTGGGACTTTGTGAAGACCCATTCATTCTGCAGGCTTTGCCACAATCACTGCTTCTTTTGAATGCAGGAAGACTGCAAGAATTGTAATAATATTGTTTTTCCCCAAGAACGGCAACGTCACCTTGCAATTACAGCTTCTGTTCATTCAGAAGTAGCCCCTAACTAGGAAAGTATGACAGCTGTTTGGCCTAAATTACCTCTAACTGCTAATTATGGGACTGTCAGATAAATGTGATTCAGCACAGTTAAACTTAAATGATTCTGAATTTCTACTTCTTGAACTACCCTTTATGCCCGTGAATGGTATTTTCAGTCAGGTGTTGACAGTTTAAGGGAATACATAGCTTGGAAACTGGCTATGCTAGAAAGTCTAATCTATCTGCCTTTCAGCCTGCCCATTCTCTTGGAACTACTTGGAGTTTCAGGATGATGTAGCTTACGCTCATCTTGAATAGAGAACAACTGCTACTTATTTAGGCTGTGGTAGCTTTTTTCATCCCTCACAGTCACCAAATCACTCTGAAAGCATGCTCTTGCCATTCAGCCTGGCTGAACCAGTCTTTGATAATATGCCTTTATGAATGAAAAGATACATTAAAGGAGCTATTTGTGCTTATATGATGCTTGGTATATTCTTAACAAAACAGAACCGCAGGTGGAGTTCGGCACAAGCCCGGGAATTTGGCTTTCTCCATAATACTGTGGCACTGTTTGTCTTGCATTCGGATGTCTCCTCACAGAGGAATGTAGGTAAGTCTTCCCAGTTTTTCTTGATGATCCTAGCTAGATGGCCGTGTGTTACAGCTGCAGTATGTTTGCCACCCCGGATCATTTTTAAATTATTATTTATCATCAGTGTTTCTCAGGACCAAGTGTAGTTTTATATTTGTACTTCCTTTATAGCTCCTGGTTTGTTTGCTCTGCATTCGCCCCTTAGCATTACTACTTCAGGGCCACTCCTGGCCCTTCATGAAGAAGTAGAAGCTTTGATATTCCTGTCTGAGGGGAAGCCTTATTTAATGGAGGTAAGCATCTATTTTACATTTATTTTACGATGGGTTAAATATAATACTAAATGAAAGCTTTAATCAAGTTGGTCTAGAATCCAGTCTCACAACATTGTTTAGAAACGATGTTATTACAACTACAATACTACATCCCAAATTGTGAAGAGATACCAGATAAGTATGTAATGAAATGCTTGCCAAGTTGTACTGTCTACTGATTTTTTAAATAATAATAATAATCCTCTGCTCTCCTTTCAAAGGTGATGCATGCTTTAAGGGAGCTAACTGGATCCCTGTCGACCCTTATTGAGATGGTGGTCTACTGCTGCTTTTGCAATGAGCACTTTTCCCTTACCATGTTGCATTTCATCAAGGTAAATTTTTGTAATAAATATTCAAGACATGAATTGTTCTAGAATTGACAGCCAGTTCCTGAGGCACTGATTTAAGTATATGCATTCTGCTGTAGAAATTTTAGTTTCCATTGTGTTGGCAACTGCTTATTCCTTATGAATCTAAGGACTGATACACACTTTAGTTTTCAGTGCTATTACTTTAAGGAGTTACAAAATGTCTATGATTTCTTATTCTTC